GCTATGACCTGTTCCATCCTGGGAATTCTCTGACCCAGGAAGCTGTGGCTCGCCCCTAGGGAGCACCCCCTGAGGGCCCCAGCTAAGCCCAGGGATGGGAGAGGGCCTGGAGCCAAGAGGGCCCCCTGCTCTCTATGTGGGGATGGGGAGAGGTGCCCTAGTCCACTTGGCCCCTGAGGTTGTCTGGGGGGAGTGGCCACGCCCCCTTCTGCCTGGCAGAGCCCCCATGATGGGAAACTTGCCCACATCAGCCATTGAGGAGCGCTGTTTCTCGTGAGGGATCCTAGGATTTAGGGGTTTCTGGCTGAGAGCAATGGGCCAGAATCAGGCACCAGCGCAAGGAGCCAGGAAAAATTCAGCCAGCTTAAAGTCACGCCGTGTGCACAGGGAGAGGGTAAAACTCCTGCTCCCGAGGGGTCGCGCTGGGTGGGGGTGTCAGAAATGAACAAGGCGGTGGGGCAGTAGAGGTGCAGGGAGGGGACTATTTTCGAGCAAATGGTCCCTCTTTAGAAGGGAAATACAACAAGGGTGAGGTGAGCTCTTTACCTGAAGGCAGGTGAGCTGTTCGGAGGCTACTCTGTGGGGTGGAATGAGCTCCACTTTGGGGGCAGAAAGCGGCCCAGCCTGCCAAAGGGCTGTTTCCTGGCAGAGGAATTTACTTACTTGAAATTTCTTACTAGATCTTACTCAGGAGCATTTAAAAACCACCTTTAGAGGAAATAATAAAATGGGGCTTCTCTAAAAAAACCCCAAACAGATGGTCACCGTACCTGTGAGAAGGGGGTAGGTGACTCAGGGAGCAGTGAAGTGGGGGTTGCGCTAAGGGCTGGGCCACTGGGAGAAGGCCTGGGCACCCATGCACCCCAGAGGACAAGCACCAGCCACGAGGAGAAGCTGCTGCCCACAGCAAGGTGATGGAGCGTGACCCCGACGGGTGGAGCGGCTCAGGGCCTGCAGGCGGAGCTCTGCCCACCTCCTCACTACTGCACGCCAAGCAGGCCCAGGCCTGTCACTTAAAGTAATAGCAGGATGGACTCCATGGCCCATTACCCACCCAGTGGCGGGCTGACAACCTTTCACACCTCAGCGTGAACTACATAAAACTGCAGTAAGATTGATTTCTCCCACGGCAGGGCTGGCGGCCGCTCTGGGCCTCGTGTCCCCTTCTTTCCCAGCCCTGACAGCCATGGCTAACTGATCAGGAGTCACCATCAATCAATGTATGTTGACACTCAGGATGAAATTAAACCTGCCACCAGGACACCTGGCCCCTTGGCATCCCGTTGCGCCACCTCAACAGAAGGCATTTTGAGGGGAGGAATAGGTGACAGGAGGGGGTTGAGGGCAGGCTGTGGACTGCTCGCCCCTCACACTCACTGTTCTCACATCTCTCGTGGAAATGGTTCTGGGACGGATGCTTGCTTTTTTCCCTTTGCTCACCAAAGCTCTGCCCTCCAATGCTCAGGTAATGACCCCAGGTACCCTGTCAACTCCCTGACCATTGGCGCCCTTGCATGCTCCACTCACCCACCACCTGCCAACTCCCTCTCCTCTGATGCTCAGAGCAAACCACTCAAGTCCCAGCTGCAGCCCGGGGCACAGAGGCAGATGTGGGGGAGCATGCAGGGAGCTCTGTCCCAGGGCAAAGCAGGCACTGAGGCCTCAGGACAGATCCTTGGCAGGGAGGTGTTCCCTCCAGAAGGTGAGCCCCAGTCAGAGCCAGGCGGCCTGCAACAGCTGGCTGAGTCCTTGTGGGACCCACTTCCCTTCCCAGGAAGGCAGCCAGACTCAGGGATAGCCCCCGTGTCCTAGCTTGCAGTCCAAACTGACCCCTCCTGGAAAATTCCATTCTGGAAGAGGCTGGAGGATGAGGGACTAGGGTGCAGGAGATGGGGAGGAGGGATGGGAACTCTTTCTTCACCCCCTTCTTCCATCCTCCCTGCAGGTCTGGGTGGCTTCTTTCCCTAGGGAACCCCACTAGCCAGCCCCCAGCAGCTCAGCACTTCCCGCTCCCACGACCCTGAAGAATCTCAAGGCAGGATCTGGAGAAATGATGGGAAACAGCCACAGGCAGGCAGGGACCACCAGGAGCTGCTCTCGTTCCCACAACCCCACCTTTCCTGAACAAAACTGCCCCCTCGAGAGCCCCCAAGCTTTTTTCCTTCCAAGATACCTGGACAAGAAGTAGTATCCCCCTTGACCCCTACAGAGGAGTAGGAGGCGGGGGTGAGGGAACCTTGACCCCCCTCACAGGGAGTTACAGAGACCCCACATCTCAGACCTGGAAGCAGGCAGCTTGGATGGCCAAGTCGCTTCCTTTCACAGGTAAGGCGGCTGATGGACGTCAGAAGTCACAAAAGAACAACAGAAAGGAGGTTCTGGCAGGCGAAATGGGTGCCGGGGTCAAGAGGTATGAACTTCCGATTTTAAAATAAAAAGATACAGAGCACGGGGACTAGCGTCACACACAAACACACTCACACATGTATACACACACACGCAAAATACGTGCACATACATAGCGTCACATAGGGATGTTGCACATGATATGAATATGCTTAATGCCTCTCAACTGTACAATCAAAGGTGGTTACAATGGTGCACGTAATGTTATGTCCATTTTACCACAATGAAAAAAAGAGACAACAGAATGATCCCAAACTAAGTAAAAGAAAATAAAGACAAAATAAAAAAATGAGATAGAAAATACATAAACAATAGAAAGAGTGAATGAAGACCCAAGTTAGTTGTAAGAAATGACTAGTAACATCAGCAAATGTCTGGCGAGGTTGGTAATGAATAGTCAGCACAGGTACCTATCAGGAGAGTGGACAAAGGGTGTATGAGTCGCTCTGTTGCAGAGAAGTTTTATGAAAACAGAACACTACAAAGAAACTAGAAACCAGGCACTACGTTTGAAAACCTCCCCAAGAGAGGGTGATCCCAGAAAATGCTCTTACGAGAACTTGCTCAAGAACAGATGATTTTACAAAATTTCACAATATATTCAAGGAACGAATAGTTCCAATGTCCTGTTTGTGCTTTCAGAAAAGAGACAAAGAAAGAAAATCTCCAAACTCTTTTTGATGCATCCTTCATTTTTGCAAAAACAAAATGTAGCCAGACTCGGACACTATGCAAAAGGAAAAGGATAAGCCACTCTTGCTAATGAGCATCAAACAAAAATCATAAACAAGGGCCTCCCTGGTGGCGCAGCGGTAGAGCGCTGGGTTGCAAAGCTGCCTGCAGCCTCTGCAGCGCCTGTTCGATCCCCGGCTGCTCCCCGGCCACCGGAGGAGAGTCCCGCATGGCACGCAGACCTCTCCTGCCGCCCGCTGCTCCCCTCAGCAGTGTCCTTCGGTCCTTCTGCCTGCTCTGCTCCCCGCTCTGGCTCTGGTGAATCCTCTCACCCTCCCGCGCTTCTGACTGTACCCAGTGCTTGTATAAATAAATAAATAAATAAATAAACAAACAAATAAATAAATAAATAAAAATCTTTAAAAAAAAAAAAAAAACAAAAACCATAAACAAAACATTAACAAAGTGTATCTAGCATTGAATGACAATCGGATGCACCATGACTGAGGTTTGCACCAGGAATTAAAAGATGGTTTAATATTAGAATCTATTCCTATAATTCTACCGTTGTTACAAGGCAACCCCCATGTGAAATGGGGTTGGCCTTACTGTGGGCCCTCACCCGCGTGCTTAGGAGGGACTCAACTGCAGGCCCACGCAGAAAGGCTAATAAAGGGCTCATTTACAAAAAAAGGGAAATGAAGAAAGGAATAACTCAGGGAGAAAGAGTGAGAGATAAATTGGTAAAAGCATCCTACCAGTTCCGCTGAGCTGGAACCCCAATAGCACGCTGAAAGCCGACGAAAACCAAGGACTCCCCAAGGCCCGTATGTCTGGTTATACACCACACCTGGCTCCTTAACTCCACCCTCAGTTCCCAGCAGTCCTTCCTTTGGTGGTCGTGACATTACGGGATGTGTAGTCCTCGATGTCTTGGATCTCTTTGGTCTGGAGTGGGGTCCATACAACTGTTTGTGGAGTTCGTTCAGGTCATCCATTCCCCCCCAACACCATTAACAGAGTGAAGGAGAAAAACAATGATTGTGTCAATAGCCGTAGAAAAAGCGATCAATGCAATTCAATGCTTATTCTCTATTTTTTAATCTCTGGTTGAAGTAGGTGTAGCGGCAGGATGGCCGCAGGGCAGGTTCTCTATGATCCAAGCAGACAGAGTAAGGAGAAGTCCTGGAGCCCTCGGTGGCTTTTCAGGCTTTTATTGGGATTTACCAGGTACACAGCAGGCAGGGGTGCTGGGTGGGGGGCGGGCACCCGGGAGGCTGGCAGGCCTCCCAACCCCCAGCAAGTCTGGGCTCTCCGGCCTTCTCTGGTGGTCTCTGCTCTCATGGTTCTGCTGGCGTCTCAGTGACGCCGCCCTTTTAAGCCCAGTCTCTCAGCCCAGTTGTACCCACTTACGCATACCCACACCCCACTCCAGGTGCCCATCATCAGGCATGCATGCAGGACCGCAAGGATCCATCATCCATCCTAATGGCGGGAGGGCAGAAAAGCCTGATGCTTTTTCACTTACCCTACAGTAGGCTTATAACGTGATATAGGGTTCAGGTGTACCTCATTCTAAATCAACATCTGTGTAGACTACATTTTGTTCACCACTAAATCAATCCTTACTATAGATTTTAAAAACAGCAGTAACCTTGGAATAGGAGAAAACTTCATCGCCTGATAAACACTATGTCTCGAAACTCTTCGTCAGCTGTCATACTTCATAGTGATGTGAGAATTCCCTTCTCAGCCAGGCAGTAACTGAAGTCGCTGCTACCCCCACTTCCAGTTACCAAGGACAACTGGAAATGGCCTCAGGAAGAGGAAGCTGACCTTGCTTCCAGACTATCTATGTAAAAAATCCTGAAGAATCAAGAGGGGAGAAAACACTAGAATTAGTTCAGAGGACCTCCTGGGGCTGGCGAGGACTGCTCCTCCTTTGCCTCACTGGCCACTTTCTTGTCTTCCTCCTGGAATCCTTCTCTCAACAGCTGACCTGAGTCTCCGAGCTGGCTGCGGACCCTCGGGGCTAGGGTGTGCACCTAGCCCTCCTTCTTCCTGGGGGCTGAGTCTGGTAGAAGAGGCACTGGTTCTCTGGTCGGCCTTATCCTGGGTGAGTAGTGACAAGCTGTAGCAGGCAGAGGGGTCTTGGCCTTGGGGCCAGTGCGTGAGGGTCAGGTTGCAGTGGCCTGCAGCATGTCAGTGAGATGGTGCGGGCAGAGGAGGCCTTGGGATATGACCGCAGCAGGAGCTTTGGCTGCATTCCTGCTGCAGCAGTGGGGTTGTGCACTGGCCCTATGCAGGGACCCTGAACTCACCTCCCTGTCTGAAGCATGGCCTGGCAATTCCGTGCTGGCCTCTCCCACACATCAGAGACTACGAGAGTGGCCTGACCATGCAGGCTGTCAGACTGGAGGTGGAGATAGAAGGAATGAAGGACATAGAGCCCCCACCCGTTTTGTTTCAGTGAGTGCTCCTGCCCAGCTGGGCCGCACCAACCCTCCGCAGTTCTCCCCTGGCATCTCTATTGATGGGTGGTTAACAAGATTTTCATCCCTGTCAGGTCCAATCAGCCGTTGTTACTGCCCTGAGCTGTTATGTCCATGGGGAGCCACACTCGCTGGGCCATCAGGCAGTAGCATGTGGGGACTCAGGTGCAGGCCCTCACTGGCCTGAGAGTGGGGAGAAAGGACAAGGCCCAGGGCCAGGGGAGGGCCCAGCAGGGGCCAGGATGCTTGAGAACATAGGAGAGTGGTGAAGAAGGGCTCAGGCAGGAAAAACACCAGTCAGCTCTCCCCATGCAGAGTGTGAGGAAGGCGCTGACAAGGGGCCACACCTGACCCTTAATAAGCTGATCTCGTGATCTGGGGAGCCATGGGCCTCTATTACGTATTTGCTGCTGCTTAGCATTGACTTCCAAACTCAGTGACTTCCAAACTTAATACAATAAAATGTATCATCTCTCACTGTGAATCAGGAATTCAAGATCCACTGGCTGGGCATTTCTGGCTGAGGGCCCCCTAAGCTTGTGAGCCAGGCCTGCGGTCACTAGAGGCTGGCCAGGCTGAGGAAGCCACTCTGCAGGGCTTCATTCCCCTGGCAACAAGCTGGGGATGGCTCAGGGCCGGAAACCTGTGTTCCTTCCTGTGGGGCCCCTCTATTGGGCTGCTGGGGTGTCCAAGTCGCATGGTGACCGGCTTCCCCGAGTCAGTGACCTAGAGATCCAGGCGGAAGCATGTGCCTTATGTGACCCAGCTACAGGAGTCACTCTTCCTCATCCCAGCCTCTTGTGGCTCAAGGGCGTGAACACCGGAAGGTGAGGATCACAGGGCCTTGGGGGCAGGGGGAGGTGCGCTGTAAAGCTTTTTCAAGGAGCTCCATCTGTGTTGCTGGCTATTTCAGGACAAGGTGCCAGTCTTGCCAGTGAGCTGAGCTCACTGTGATTATGCCCTTTCTCCACAACCCAGTCCTGGCTTCTTCCTTCCAAATTCCACACCTCTTTCCTCCAGGACTGAGTCTCTGTCCCTCTGCACCTCCCTCCCCTGGCCCTCCCCATATGATTCTGTTGCTTTCTCCAGCCCCAAATCCTATTCCCATGATGCTGTCCACTCGCCTTGACAGCTAAGGGCTTATCTGACAGGCTGGCAGCTTGGCTCTCTCTCTGGTCTGGTAGGGGTGTGGGGGAGGGGTTCTGGCCTGAGGCCCAACAGCCTGCACCACTGGCAGCACAGGACAGAACTGCAGGTAAGCTGACACAGCAGAGACAAGAGGCCTGGCTGGGAGTTAAGAGTTGGCCAGAGTGTGACCTGGACCTGGAAGGTGGGTTAGACAGTGAATTGGAGATGGGGTCCAGACATTGTTTGGAGGCCCCAAGCCAGAACCTGCTCTCCTGGGGCTCTGCATGGAGCAGGGAGGAAGAAACTAAAGGTGGGATGCCAGGTGTAAGGAGAACCTGGCCCTGCCCCTAGAGCCTTGCACGCACAGACCACCGGGCGCCGTCTACTCCTCAGGGTGGACCGTGCTAGTCTCAGCAGAGACTCAAGTCCCTCCTCAGTATTCAGAACTCTCCCAGCCTGGGGCAGGGTGAAAGGACCCATCACATTCCTCAGTTCCTGCCCAGGTAACCTACACTCTGGACAAGGAGAGGGGCCTCCCAGGTGAGGCAGGAGGCGGTGAGTCCAAGCCCAGGCCAGCTGAGCTGGGGGCACATACCCAGCTGAGTAGCTGGGGACAGCAAGCCTGGAGGCCCCAGCAGCCTTGGAGAGCCATTTCCAAGGAAGCCAGCCTGAGGAGGAGGAGGGGCTGCCTGGGAGGAGCTTGTGGTGCCAGGAAAGCGGAGACCATCTTGGGCTTCTCCTAGTGGAGGAATGTGGTCATATATAAATGCCTTTGTCTAAAATAAGGGGCAAAGAAGGGATGATCACTAAGCTCATCTGGATGGGCTTGGGAACCAGAACAGAGCCCAAACATCAGAAAACCTGACTGGTTCTTTGGGCTTTGAAATTCATTTTGCTGTGGGGGCTTGAATGGCCTGACACCAGATCAAGCTTGAAATTCAACCTAGGGACCACCCTTCTTTGGGAAATAGAACTACTGGGAGGGAGAGGGAATGGCCCAGGATTAACAAGCTTCAGAGGTGGGAAGGCCATGCGTGAACCAGTGTGTGGCCCTTCCCTGGTGCCGGCCTCTGAGGCACTGGCTTCCCTGAGACCACTGGCCTTTGGTTTCCCCCGCCTGCTCAAGTCAGGGTTGACCAGCTGGCCCAGAGGTTCTCAGCTCTTCCTCGAGGGCACAGGTTATGAATTAAAGTGTCTTCAAACATGACTTTGAAAAGGTCAAATTTGAGGAATAGGGAGCCTGTGGCAAACTGGAGAGAGCCCGAAGGCATTCACTTAAAAACCCTTTTAAAACCTATCCTACTAGCCAAACAAGGCATCGCTGCCAGCTTGGGTCTCTGGCTACCTGTTTGAAACTCAAACAGCCTAGGAGGTGAGTTAAAAACAGATTCAGTGCGTACATGTGCACACACAGTAGGAATGGGTTCCAAGAGCTGTGAAGTTGGCCTGAAGTCCTTTTCCCTAACCCCTGCTCCCTCTGCCGCAACAGACCCCATGCAGATCTCCCTGGACGCAAGGCCTCTCCATGCTGAGTCCCTGCATCAGCAGCAGCCAGAGGGAGGAGGAGCTGCAGACCTGCTTCTAGCTCCAGCAGCCCCTTGCGCCAGAGCAGAGACCATCCTAGATTGGCTGTGAGTTTAAAGCCAGGGGGTCTGGGACAGCTTAGAGTACTGGTGAATTTCTGTGTGGTGAGAGAAGACAGGGCAACAGGACAGTCTGCAGAGAGACAGGCAATTCAGGGTGAGAGCTGGGGAGAGCTTGCACGCCATCCTGTGCAGATGTGCAGAAACACGCAACTGCCTATAACAGAAATGCTGTCCTCTCGGTTGAAAGGACGGAAACTCTAAAGACCCAGCACTCCAAGAAGGTGGCAGGTCGCTGAGAGTGGCTTCTGTTCCATGTCTTCTGCAGCGAGCACTCTCCTGGGGGACCCCACTGGGTTCAGAGAAAAGACCATGAAAAATGTATTTGGCTTCCAGAAGGCAAGGGCTTACACAGGGAAGAGAGCTGCCCAGCCTGTCCATCGACCCAGTGAGGGCAAGGTGAAGGTGCTTTCCTCCTGCAGGTCAAAGGCGCTCAGGAGGCTGAGACCCGGCTGGGAAGGCGGCACTGCTCCCCTACGCCAGCAGGCGGCAGCAGAGAGCACCATGCTGGTCCACTGTGCCCCTTGGTCTCATAAACGAGAACAAGCTGACTGAACCAGGGTTCTTCTCCACCCCTTTCTCCTGGACCTCCTTCTTTACACATTAACTAATCCAAGAAAGGCGAACCCAAGAGCACACAGCAGTCCAGAAGGGGGCAAAGGGGGGCTGCCACAACCCAGGACATCTGCCTGTAGTCAGCTTGCCAGCTGACCTGTGCTCGCAAACTGAAAACCCCTTAGAGACCTGGGTGAAGAATCATGGAAGCTCTGGGCATGGCCTGGGGGCTCTGGTGGATGGAACTCACCATAGATTTTTTTACTCCAGTCACTGGTAAGTAGCTCTGGTGACATTTCTCTATTCATCAGTCCTGGCACGTGGTTCCCTCTTCCATTTTCCAGGTCCCACCCAGGAAACCGCCCCCAAGTGGCCTAGACTTCCCCATCCCTCTCCTCACTTCCCTCCTGAACTTGAGAACATCAAATTTGCCAAGCCCGCTTTCCTCTTCCAGGAAGCCTTGACCAGACAGGGAAGAATCTGGCATAATTTGGGGTAGGATGGAGAACATGGGGAGAAGAATATAAATGGATAAAGGGAGGAGGTGTGGTCACACACACACACACACACCTGTCTGGGGGGGGGCTATCAGACTCTAAGGACTCCAGTGGGGGAGGGGAGAAAGGAAGTTGCCAGCACAAAGGGTCCAGAGAGGCAATCTGGTCATGTGAGTATGGGCAGGCAGAGGAAAGACCAAGGCAGGGCCACCAGTCTGGGGAGAGCTTCTGCCCCTCCACAGGGGAAACCTCTTTCCCTACAAAGACAGTAAAACTGAACAAAAATAGGCAAGGGAAAGAAGGTTGCTCACATGGCAGGTGAACCAAATATGTTTAACTAAGGCAGGAGGGTATGATGGAAAGGACACTGGCCTGAGAACAAGGCAACTGGGGTTCATTCTATGTCTGGCCCTGAGGAGCTGTGTGACCTTGAAAAAAGTCACTTTGTATCTTTGGTTCTCAATTTCTTCCTCCATGAAGGTGTTTTTGTTTTTTTTTTTTGTCCAGAGGTTTGGACAAAAGCAAGATGGTGAATGGAGCTGCCTGAAGCATCGTGGAAGGGCTGTGAGTGGGGAAAGATCTGTGATGGATTGGCAATGTCTGCCGTGGGTGCAGCCGCTGAGAACAGAAGCATTCATGTCAGGTTTGCGAAGTCTGGAGATCATCAACAAGTCCCTTCCGTCCTCACACTCTGTGAGTTGATGACAACATTACAGGAGAGTATGGGCCAGGGTCACCTTGAGAGATTGCCTCTGAGAAAATTCAAGACAGTCCCGGCATGTGAAGACTTCCCTCCCGGCAGTTTCTCTAGTTCCCTCCACATGTACCTCAGAATGCTAAGCCTAGTGCCCCCTTTATGCAAAGTCAGGATCCTGTACAGTGCGTCCAGCTGTCACTTCCAACAGTGTGTTCCGTCGGGTCCTCTACCTAGATCACAGCGCAACTCTCTGGAAGCAGAGATGTAGTGAGCTCTGACAGGCAGTTCCCTGGCCATGCCATATGTCCCCATTGGATGGCTGATTCCAAGAATACCACCCCCCTTTATAAATAAGATGGTACATTCCAACAGGGAGTCTCTTCACAGCCTGGCATGCTGGTGGACAATCTCCAGCCCCCAGGAGGGGCCACTCCAGCTGAGGAGAGGAGAGGAGTCTGGCCTGCAGCTGGGGTGCCCGTGGACATCGAGAGGTTCTTGGCAGTGCTGTGGAAGGGGACAGAGGTGGTGGCTGTCCACTGGGGGTAGAGGTGGTCCTGACTGAGGCTCCAGGCTCAGCAACCACCTGGCTTCTGGCCACATCCTACAAGTGGGTCTCCTCCCCAGTTATGAGTCCCCTCTTTGTGGGAGAGGGCCTGCAGTCCTGGCTGGCGCCACCATCCAGATAGAGGTGCTGCTTGGGCTGTGGCAGGCTGGGGTCAGGGGTGACGAGCTGTCGCAGGCGCTATGGAGAGAAGGAGGGAGTGGGTACAGAGGGTGAGCGAGGCAAGGATGTTTCCTCATGTCTGTATCCCCGGGGCCCACATGGAGCAGGCACCTGGGGGCAAGGCAAGGCAGTACAATATGAGTGAATAAATATTTTGAACAGAGAGAAGAGGCAACAACATGCTGATGAAGAGTGTGAACTGCTGGGTTCCAGCATCTTCTACCAACTACCTGTGCAGTCTTAGAAAAGCTATCTTGCCCCCTCTGTGACCCTTGCAAAATGAGGATAGCAACAATGCACACCTTTAGAATGGTGCCTGGCACAGGCTAAGCAGCCACTAAGTGTCTATTTTTCTTAGTATTGCTATTCTTATTACTGTTATTCTATACTCAGCAAGTATCTATTTTTCTTTTCTATTTTCTTATTATGGGTAGGACTATTGCTATTGTTATTGGTATCATCTCCTCCCCCTCCTTTTTGCCTTGAATTCTGAAGTGATGACTGGAATCATGAAAACTTTTTGGGACCGTGAGGCGTGAGTTATAAGGATAATGATGAAAACACAACAAGCTCAGGATGGAGCAGAGGTACAGGGAGATTCTGGTCCCTACCAGTCTTTAAAAGCAGCTGAACCAAAAGCCAGTAGTCCCCTCTCTGGCTTCTTGAGAGGTATGAAAAAAATAATCTTTGCTCATTGCAGGTTGGGTTCCTGTTACTTGTAGGCCAGATCGATTTCTACAAAGGTAGTGTCTTTGTTTTGTGGGATACTGGCTATATCCCTTTCCAGGAAGGCATGCCCCGATCTCTAAACCCCAGAAAAGGTTAAGATAAGAAGCCAGGAGACCGTGGTTGGAATGCACCGTGGTAGCTGGTTCCCAAGAGCAAGGACACTGTGCATCACCAGCCTGTGATCTGGTGTCTCGAACACCCACTGATGTTCTAGTTTGAGATGTAGCTTTCCCCTTAATCTTCGACAGTTACCCTTGGTTAAGCTGCCCAGGGGATCTGTGTGCAGGCAGAGTCTAAAGGTTCAGGATTCTGGGGCTTTTGAATATTCCTGAAAATGAAGCCCCTAGACCCTTCTCTTTAAGATTCCATGAGACTGACGGGCTGCCCCACACTCAGGACTGGACCTCAGCTGCCTCAGCTGCTGTGTCCTGCCCGAAGTGCCACCCCTCTCACACCCCCTGAATGCATCACGCCCCCAGGCCCTACCTTCTTAAAGGATCCCTGGGTCTTCAGGAGGGTGATGATGACGAAGAGCGGGACGCAGACCATGGAGGAGAGAGCCAGGAACCAGCCTATGGAGTATCCCCAGGGAGGGTACACGTAGACATTGTTGTATTTGAGAGGTGTGTACTTGCTCAAGGAGAAGAAGAAAGTGGCCTAGAAAGAGGAAAGGGCAGACATGGGTGAGCCGGAGAGCTACTTAAATATCCAGCGGCAGAGACAAGTGGAGGACACAAGTGGAACAGTCAGGGCCCTCACAAGCTAGGGGCCCCAGCATCCCTCCCGTTGGGAACAGAAGGAGACATAAGGGAAGGAGGCAGATGGGGGAGCTCCAAGCAGACAGATGGAAAGAGACCAGTTCTTGGGACGTGGGGTGGATGGATGGAAGCTCAAGAGAAAAGGAAGGAGCAGGAGCTAGAACAGATGACAGTGACGGTAAAGCCACCTGATGATCAAGATGGCCCCGGGAGAGAAGGGCAGGGAGCCAACATTGGAGGGGATGGGCCAACCTCCCGGGGGCACCAGACAGGCAGGGAAAGCACCCCAGGACTCAGGCATGCTGTTCCTCATCTCCTGAGTGTGTTGGCGGCAGGGAGGGGAGAGCACATACCAGGCAAAGTCCAGGGGTCAGGTAGAGCCAGGAGATCTTCACCAGGGGCCATGGCCGGTAGCCGATCATGTCCTCAATGTTGTCATAGAAACGATTGGCGCCTGCTCAGGCATGGTGGGGAGAGTATGAGAATGGAGGGGGAGCAGCTCGAGGGTTTTTGGGAAGGACTCACCTGGCTCTGTGCGCTTCCCCCCACCCTGAGTGGGGGAGACTGGATCAGGGCACACGAATGGCAAGGAACGGTGGCCGTGGCCCCAGGCAGGGTAAGGAGGGAGAAGGGACTAGTACCAGCAAGCCAGGTCCCTCAAGGGTCGCTTCACAAGGCCTGCATGGCCGGGGATGAAGATCCTGCCATCCTAACCACAGGAGAGGGCTCGAGGGCTAAACAAATGCTAATTTATCTGTGTAGCAGATGAATTCAGTTTCAAGTGCAAACAGCAAGGCCCCACGGCGAGGCAGAGTGCTCTCCACATACAAGGGCCAGAAGCCGTGGGGACCCAACCATGGTCTAGATGCCAGACTCCAAAGGAACCACTCCCCACCCCCGATGAAGTGCAGCGAGGGGTCTGATTTGTGTTTGCGAAAACAATGTCTCAGTTCTGTTTTGTTTAATATACTCAGGGGTCCACCTTTGCTCTGAGTGCCAGGCACAGCCAATCTCCTAAGAAGTAAGGGGACACTGGTTGGGAAGGACACTTGAGGGGCCCCTCTAGCCTTCCCTCACCAACAAAAATACCTTCCAGCTGATGCATGATGCATGAAATGCCACCATTAAAGAGTCATTCCTTTGACTTCTACATTTCTCCCCAGAAAAACCAGATATTGCTGCGTAGTGTAACCTACAGAGGCTTATCAGTCATGTATACCTCATGGTGATTGAGTTTGTCAGATCCTCTCTGAGATCCAGTTCTGAAAAGCCATAGGAGAAAATTGGGAAGACCTTAGATGCTTGAGGCGGAAAGGCTGGAGACACCTCTCTCCAAGGAGAGGAAAAGACACCAAACAGGAAGGCAGAGGGCAGAAAAACAAAAACCTTCCTACTCATGGCCTGTCCTGCCACATGGACCCACTTACCCTCTCTGCCCTGAGCCTTATGACTTGGCCTAGTGTCTCCTCAGCCCAGGGCCAGGCAGCCTGAGACCTAACCTCCCTGAGCCTTGCTTCTCCCTGCCTTCACCCCCCAAAAAGGTCTGTCGTGCCGATGGTGGAATAGTGCTCGGCACACAGCAGTGCGTTGGCTGGTAAGATTTCTCCCTCTGTTGTTATCAGCCCCGGTACCAGCAGGATGTTCCATGTTCAGCACCCTGGCTAGTACCTCAGTGCTGAGGTGCCAGAATTCACCTCAGTAGAAGGAAAGGTGTGGGGGATGCAGCCCCTCCACAGAAGGGGCACCCAGCAGTTGGGCCTGAGGGGGAGCTATGTTCTGTCCCAACCCTCAGGGCTGCGCAGTTTGAGCTGAGTGGCTGGAAGGAGGCTAGGACACTGGGAGGAGACCTCAAAACCACAGGAGTGAGTTTCCTGTCTGTGGAAGCATTCAAGCAAAGTCTAGCAGAGAATTCTGAAAGGGCGTGTGGGGTTTATGGAGACTCAGGCAAAGTGGCCTGAAGGTCCCTTCTGACTAAGATTCCAGCCAGGAAAGGCCCATCCAGGGCAGCTGTTATTTCAGGAAAACTGAAATAACAGTGAGTTACTCTCACTGTCAAGGAACTTAGTTGTGTTGTGATGAGAAAAGCAAAGGCTTAGCTCAAACCTCCCAGCCTGCAAAGTTTCCCAGCGATGGAGCAACTTCCCAGCACAGAGGCCCAGGGCAGCAACACAAAGACCCTTGGAAACCAGAGGGCTGGTGCTCCTCATCCTCATCCTGGGAAAACCCTGCCCTTAGCTGGGTCCTGGAAGCTCTCTCCCCAGCTCCCCACTTACCATACACCCAACTGATGCAGATGACTTCAAACAGCGCGAGGAAGAGCAGGCATATGCCACCGGAAGCGTAATAATCGAACAGCTGGAAGATATACATCCCACCCTGTGGGGAGGGCGTGGGCTGAGGCCTTGCTGGTGGAGGCATGAGAGGGCAAACACGCATCTGGGCCCCATCCTGCCCCTCCTGTGGGAAGCCATTCCTTTCATTTATAGGGTGCTTGCCCTGTCTGCCCCACCCCACCCCCAGGCCCCTCAGTTACAGCCAGGACATCTGCAAGGACACCAGGAACAGCTGCGCCTGCCCAGCGTCCCACCTACTGGAAGCTGGGCCTCATTGTATTCAAAGTGTGCGCCTGCCCCTGCCTGGCCTGAAGAAGAGGCAAGGCCAGCCCTGGGGTGCTCTCAGGAAACGGGCCTCTCTTCCTCTGGGGTTGCTTGGGTGGTGGAAGGTAAGCCTGAAGCTGTGGCGACCTTCTTCAGTGTCAGAGGGGAACCGGGCGAAGAATGAAGTAACTAGAAGAAAGGCGCCGGGAGAGAGGGGCATTCCTTGCAAGGTCTCAGAGCACCGGGCTCGGCCACGTTTGAAACCGAGACATAGACTTCTCCATCTCCTGGCCCCCGAACTTCCCATTCGACTTAAGCCCGCTGTGCTTCTGTCACCCCAAACCAACAGGTAGGTTCCAGGGCGTGGCCCTCAGCCTTGCTGTGGTGGACGAGGAAGTGTGGCTGTGAGCAGGGTCGGTGTAGGCCCGTGGCCCGCCTGCCCTGGAGCCCCTGGAGCCCCTGGCGGCCGCCCCCCTCTCACCTCGGTGACCAGCAAGAGCCCGATCAGGTAGCATATGACTGCGATGGCCAGGATGAGGAGCTCTCGCCGCCCGCTCCTCCGGAGCTGCCTGGGGAACATGTCCGTGGAGGCCGTCACCAGGCACTCCACACAGACGAACTGCAGGCCAGAGGGGACATGGCAGTGAGGGCCGCTCCCTGCCTGGCCCTGGCCTCCTCTCACCCCACTCACCCATGGCGCAAAGGGTGGAAATGGGGGTACATGGAGGAGATTTGTTCTGCCCTCAAGATTTCAGGGGATATGGGGGCCTCCCTGCAAGCGCAAGGGGTTAAGACGCAACCTCTGAAGCTATCCGCAGCTGCTGCAGCATGAGTTTGATCCCTGGCCAGGGAGATACCCACATGGCGCAACAGACCTCTCCTGACTCGCCTGTACCCCAGTTCTTGTATGCATAAATAAATAAATCTTTAAAAAACAGATTTCAGGGGACAGGACTGGCAGCTTGAGCTATGCAGCTGGAAGGAGGCTGGAGGAACATTTTATTGGGGCCTCCATATATTGGGGAGGTCAAGCCTTGGGGAATAGAGCAAGAACCTGCTCACAGATGTTCTCCTTAAAATGGTCTTGAGGCCTTGTGGCCTCACCCGACCAGCCACAAGGACAGAGCCTGGGACAGCAGAAGGGGCCTCAAAATGCAGGGTCAGGGAAATCAGAGCTGGGGTCGGAAGGCCAGGGAATGCAAAGTGGTCAAGTGGATACAAAGAGTGGGGAGGATGGAGTGAGTTGAGGTGGGGCAGAGACATACCTGGCTGTCCAGCCCTAGGAATATGAGCATGATGAAGAAAAGGCAGGACCACAGCTGGGACAGAGGCATCATAGTCACAGCCTTGGGGAAGGCAATGAAGGCCAGACCAGGACCTGTCAGGCACACGACACCATCAAGTGAGCTTGGGCCTTCTGGGAGAACCCTGACCCAGGGCACTGTGTGTGTGTGGGGGGGTGGGAGGGTGTCATTCAGGAAAGCAGGGAGATTCCATTAATATCCTGCTCTTGGGACCTGGGGGCACATTGTGCATTCACCTATCCACTCTTGCAGTTGCGGGTCCATCAACCCAACCACTGCCCTCTGCTTTGCTCTTCCCGGCCACGGCACCTGCCCTGTGATAAGCACCGCCCAGCTCTGCACCTCCTGCGTTTGTGTAGGAGGATCTGCGTTCCCCACCCTCCCTCCTCTAAGGCCCCAGACGGTAAAGCGGCACCCACCTGACTCGGCCACTTCGGAGATGGGCACCCCCTGCTCTCGGGACATGAAGCCCAGGATGGAGAAGACCACGAAACCAGCCATGAAGCTGGTGGCACTGTTCAAGAAGCAGAGCGCGATGCAGTCCCTGTGGGGGTGGCGCGTGAGGATAACATGGGACGGAAAAGGGAGAAAGAAATCCATCAAGGGGGCAGAGATCAAGGCAGAAGGGGATGCAGAGAGGGAAAAGGAAAAGAGAAGGAGAAGCACAGAGGAGAGAAAAGCAAGAGCAGCCGGGGAGAACATCAGTGGAAGAAAAGGACAAAGCCCAGGTAGCAGAAAATGAGGAAAATAAAGAGAGGGAAATAGGAAAAAGAGAGAAATTTAGTCCAGGGAACGACCCCACGTCAGTTTGACATAATTTGTTGCTCTCCGATAACGAACCTATCTGGACCCCACCCCCAGGACATCCCCTCTCAGACCATGAGCAGGCAGGCGCCCTGGAGCCGCCCAGCCCATGCAGCACCCACCTGTAGCAGTTGTTGTGATACTTGTTGTAGCTGCCCAGGGCTGTCAGGCACCCCTGGCAGATGGCAAAGGAGAAGAAGATCTGGGTGCCTGCGTCCATCCACACCTGCAGGAGACCCCCAAGAAGGTGGTAGAGAGAGAGCAAGAGGAGCCACCAGCATCTGGAGCTGGGGTGACCAGAGGCCCCCTCCACGAACCCACAGCACCTCTTGTAGCCCAGCTCTCCATTAGCACGCCCTCCCCTCCACAGGCAGGGCCCACTGATGGGTTCAGTGAGCACCCAGCAAGAACAAAGGCATGCGTGCTGCTTATTCTTCCTAGGTGGAGTCTGCAACACATGGCTGTACCCCCAGAGAAGGCCAGCCTTTCTGCAGGCAGAGCCTACACTCCTTTGACAAGTAGAGAGCCCCAGGAAGCCAAGAGGCAAGGCGTGGGGCAAAAAGCCCACTCCATTCCAGTCCAAAGACAAACACAGCAAGATGCACACAAGTCCCAGGGGAGGTAAAATTGGCCACTCAATTTTTGGGAAATATCCAATCTTGCAGTAGTATAACAATAAATAAAACAACAAGATGTTACTATTTTGACCGACCAAATAAACTATCACTGACTCTCCTGGGCCTTGCAGGAAGCAGAGGCGCCCCAGCACTGGCAGGGAGAGCCCACATCGCCCTAAAAACAATGCCTCTCAAGAACATGAAAGGCTGGGCCTCCCTGGTGGCGCAGGGGTTAAGACGCAGCCTATGAAGCTGTCCACAGCTGCTGCAGCACCAGTTCGATCCCTGGCCAGGGAGCTACCCACATGGTGCAGCAGACCTCTCCTGACTTGCCCGCTGCTCCCCTCAGCAGTGTATGGCAGTCAATCTGCCTATCTGCTCCCCACTCTGTCTCTGGTGAATCCTCTCACCCTCCATACCTCTGGCCTGTACCCTGGATCTTGTGTGCATAAATAAATAAATCTTTAAAAAAAAGAACCTGAAAGGGGCCCATGAGATTGACTTTCTAATACCACATAACGACAGGTAGGAAATCAGCAGAGATGTGGCCACAGATTTAAGTACAAAGGTGTGCACTGCAGCTGTATACACAATCTCTGGAAAAGGTGCTTGACCTGACTGTCCTGGACAGGGGAGAGTGGAGAAAAGGAAGACAATGGCCCAGGTGGGAGCGCTCAGAGGACATCTTACCTCTTCTGTTTTGCCTCTTCACCTGCCTCCTTCCCTAGCACTACACTACAGCCCTTCACTGGGCCCACAATACATATTTGATGAGTGAATGAAGGAACAGGTGAGGGACAGGGGGAATATTATACATGTGTTAAAAATGACATTTACAAATGAGTTGAATAACATGGAAAATGCATACAATATAATTTTAGTGAAAAAAAGCTGTAACTATAGTTATTCAACTGTATCCAAACACACACGCGCGTGCATACCACCTAGAAAAACAGTTGGAAGGAAATACACTGAAACGTTAAGTGGCAGAATTGTAGAGATTTTTAATCCCTTTTTCATCATTTGCTTCCTGACTACCCAACTGTTCTCCAGTTGGACATCTATTGCTTTTAAGCCAGGAGTAAAGCAACCAATCAAAGAGTTCCAAAAGTCCACATCTGTTTGGGGTGCGAGATGGCTGGTACCTACCTGGGGGTCCTTGAGACGAAGCAAATCTGGCTTTAGGTAATAGATGATGCCCTCGTAGGCTCCGGGGAGGGTGACGCCTCGGATCAGTAGGATGATCAGCATCAAGTAGGGGAACGTGGCTGTGAAATAAACAACCTGGAGGGGGAGCAGGCCGAGGTCACCCCAGGTGGGAACACAGCAGCCTGGAGGGGACAGTGAGTCTGCAGTACCCTCCCCCCCACCATGAGCCCCCCAGGCACACCTAGCTCAGTGTCCCAAACCTTCTTGGAGAACTCAGAGTGGGGGTGAGCACAGGAAACTTTCCACACCTTCCTGTCACATGCCAGTGGGCCTTAGGCTCCCCAGCAGAGGGTGAGATACTTATCAGCTAGCCAAGGGGGGAGCAGGAAGGACAGGGAAGGGACAAGTTTCCAGCCAAAACATTTCAAAGACTATTTTTAAATCCTGACTGGTCTCCTTCAATCCCTTCTCCTGGCTGTTGTGTTTCTCCCCTTCTCCAGGGAACACTGAACAATGATCTGTGGGAAATTTAGACTGTACTTTTCCAGGCGCAAGGCTGGGAGAGCAGCTATGGCCTCAGCTCTGGCAGGATGGAGACACACGAGGGGCTCCACTCTGGCCCTGACCAAGTTCAGCTCCTTATCCGAGGGGGTGACGTTATCTATATTATTATTATTGTTATTGCTATTTTGGTCATTACAGATACTGTTATTCTGACAACAATCCACGGAAGGAGGAAGCTGCTCTGGGAACAGGTTAATCAAAGGAGTCAGTTTCCTGACTATGCCTGACTTTATTTATTCATTTTAATTGTTATTTTAATTTTTGAGGTTATATTTTTGTTCTTCCATATGGGCATATATTTCACTCACCCTCCACCAAACCACCTGTACCAATATCCCTTCTGCCTCCCTCCCTCCCTCACTCTCTAATTTCCCTCAGGCCCATTCTTCCTGGCAACGATTATATTCTTTCACTCACTTCAAGATTTATCCTACTATTTTGCCCCTGTATGTTTTCTGGTTACGTACATCCACAGATGAGTGAAGCCATTCAATATCTATCTTTCACCTTTTGACTTATTTCATTTAACATAATCGCCCCAAGTTCCATCTGTTTTATCCCAAATGCCACTATTTCATCTTTTTTCATGGCTGTGTAGTATTCCATCGAGTATGTATTCCCAGCCTTGAACAGCATGAAACAGTCTCAGTTTCCCTGGGTTGGAAATAAAGCTCAAATCCGAACTCTCTATATACATACAAGTCACTGTTGTCCATTCTCAGCTCAAACCCCTTTGATATGTAGACTCTCACCACCTCAAAGATAGTACTCTTTACCAGTTCATACAAAAAATGGTCTTTATATGTTAAATACCAAAAGCAAGTCATGAGAATAGATGATCCTAATTGGGTTATACACACATACAATAGCTGCTCGGTCACAGGTACATACACATAATAGAAAGAGGAAGAATACAACAAAACGGAAAGGGATTAGCAAGTCCTGCCTACCCTCTTGCCAATGGCTCGTGAAGCTTTGCTCTGACAGTGGTACTTTTATTTTCACTTTTATTTACACAATCTGTATCTCACTTATATAAACAGGTCTCCTAAGGTCATATTGAAAAAGAAATCCTTTCCTTCCCTTGAGCTAAACTCGGCCCTCCTACTTCTTCTGCTCTCACCATGTCTCTCCCTTCAACTACTCTTTCTTCTAGTTCTCCAGGGGTTCTCTTGAGAGGTCCCATGAACTCTGGGGACCACAGAAAGCTGACCGGGAGCCAGGACACCTCACCTTGCCTGTGGTCTTGACCCCCTTCCAGATACAGAAGTAGCAGAGAATCCAGGCCAGCAGGAGGCACAGGGCCAGCTCCCAGCGCAGGGCCCCCAGGTCATGGATGCCCGAGGTGATGCCCAGAACACGTCTCCTGATGGGAAAAATAAAAAACAGGTCAAAGATGGGAGGAGACAGAGCACCTCTGTCATCAAGTCTTCTGATCCTTGGAGCTGACCCCACAGACCTTCGGGCGCCCCACACCCATCCCCACCCCTTCCCCATGGCCACGCCATGTTCCCACCTGTGGTCTGTATGCCCCTGGCTGTTAGAAGAGCAAATCACGTAATCCCATAGGTATCTTTGTCTTTCTAACTCATCCAGATTTCTCTATTGTACAGAGAGAGGAGAGAAGAGAAAGAAAGGCGGAATGTGTGAATGAGTAGATGGAGAGTAGGTATTTATCTCTACAGGTTGATGAGCAGGCATCTGGGTATTCAATGGAGGGGTCATATTATGTGTTAATTTCTGAAACTGCACGGGGGTGATAGAAATGTGAGCAAATATGTGTAGGTGAGGATGGGGTAACTGTGGGGCATCCATGTATGTGAGGGGGCAGGCAGACATGTGAACGTACTGGTGAATGTGTGTGGGGTTTAGGCCAGTGTGCAGGAACACGTTTACTTGTATGAGATGAAGGTGCCTATGGGTGGGCAGAGATGATGTGAGGGTATAAGTGGTCACGGGGGAGGATGGACTGTGCGTGTAGGCTCTGCCAATTTCTGTGGTATAAACACTCCCACCTGGGCCAGTTTCAAGCTACCACATGACATCATGAGCATAGAGTTGGGAAGAGATGGTGCAGTCGGCTCTCCTAAGCTGGGGCAGCCTTCTTCCAGCATACCCTGGACAAACGTGGGTGATGTGTAGGGATCTGTGGGTACAAGTGGATGTGAAGGGGTAGGCATGTCTACATGGATAAATGTGTGAGTCTAGATGGATGCAGGTGGATTTGGGGTCAGTGTGTTGGGGGGGTAGACTAGTGTAGGTAGCTATGTGAGGTCGGGGCGGAGGTGGGTAAATGTTAGAAAGGATGCACAGAGAAACTTAAAAAACTTGCACCCCCAAGTCCCAGGCCTCAGACAATAAGTTTCTCTGCTTGAGGGCCCCTGGCATGTGGCAACCAGGTCCAGCACCTACTCCCAGAATTCTATGACAGGTGAGGTGAAGTTTTCAGAGGGGATCGCTGTGCTGTCTTCTGAGTGGTTCAGAAAGTCCATGCAACGCTCTGTTGGGGACAAGGGGGCGGGGGGATTGGTTAGGCATTAGCCTGGGATGAGAGGGCAAGAGATGCCTTCTCACCCCAGTCCCTCTTGACCTTCTAGGCTTGCAGCCTGTCGTCCCCATCATTCCCAGGCCCCAGAACTTCCTGGGAGGCCGCATTTTCCAGAGTATCAGGAGTTGGCTGCTCTGGCAGTTCACGGGCCCGGCCTCCTCCACGTGCCTTGCACTGCTCTTGTTTCAATGAACCCAACTGTGCCTCCTGACCAGCCTCTGACACAATCCAGACTGCAGATGCACTCTGACCCCATGTGGGTGACTCATATGGACAGCACTCTCTGAACCTGCCCACTCTCTCCACTCAGCAGACAAAGGGACCGAGTCCTTGTGCCTGTCCCTGCCTCCCCTTGGAATGCGGTTCACATGGCAGCCCCTCCTCACCCTCCAGCCCTCAAGCTAGCATTTCTCCCGCCCATGGTCACAAGTTACTGCACTGTTTCTTTCACCCACCACAATTGGTCATTGTCTGGGTAATATGTCTGTTTCCGCCACTAGACTGTATGCTCGGTGAGGGTTAGGTCCATGCTAGTGCTCACCCTGGGATCTCTAGCAGCTGGCACAGTGCTTGGCACGTAGCAGGGGCTCAGTAAATATTTGTCAGCCGAATAGATGTATGTATGTGTGAAAATTACTAGTTGCATTTGCATTTGTATGCACAGTCACAGCCCCTTAGGTTTCCAGGGCTCCTGGAGGCTGGTCTCAGGTTCCACAGTAGGGTCAGCCAGCAGGACTGGCACCAGAGCCCGCATAGCTTGGCTTCCAGGCCAGGCCTGCCATATGCTCCATCATTCTTTACTCATCCCTAGTCACCATGAATGATCCCTTAGAGGTCCCATCCCCGGGGCCAAAGTGACAGATACCTGTGTTCCAGGAATTGGTACAGGTCGTCCAGGGCAGGTGGGAGGTAAAGGAGCTGAACAGGTAGAAGAGAGCCCAGGCAAGGATGATGATGTAGTAGATGTTCAAATAGGCTTCAATGACCACCGATGCCAGACCAATGCCTTCCGGAGTGAAGGAGGGGTGCAGAGCGTCCAAGAGAACCCAGGAGACCAGTGTTAGCCAAAATGAGAAACTGCCAGGGTGGGCCAGAGGACATTGGTGCTGCCCAGGAGAGCCACCAGGGTGTATCAGCACAAGAACGCACTTGTAGAGTCATTTGGTAGGAAAGAAAAGTGACAGAGCACTATGCATTCTCCCACTGTTGTAATATATATTTGAAAATGTGCACAGCACACACACACACATTTCTTTTTAATGAGAGAAAGGTTCACAAGTACTTTTCTAGGTGATAGGATTTCAGCTCACTTTTTAAAGTATTTGTTCTTTTTGCCTATCTACATTTTCTAGTTCTGTTGCAAAATGAAAAGGGGCAGGAAGAACAAAGGAGCAAGTAGGGGAAATTTGATAAGACTAAGTCTCAAAAGCAAAAATCAGAAGAAAGCAGCGAGGAAGGCCTCCCTGGTGGCGCAAGGGGTAAAGCACTTCACTATGAAGCAATCTGGAGCCTCTGCAGCACGAGTTCAATCCCCAGCCGGCTAGGGAGAACCCACATGGCGCAGCAGACCTCTCCTGTCTTGCCCGCTGCTCCCCTCAGCAGTGTATTTAGTCAGTCTGCCTGTTCTGTTCCCCACTCTGTCTCTGGTGAATCCTTTCAACCCCCCTGCCCACCCCATCTCTGACCTGCATAAATAAATAAATCTTTAAAAAAGAAAGAAAGAAAGAAAGCAGGAGGAAGAGGGAAGAGGTGGTTGCCAGGCACTGGGAGAACCGCTGCAAATGTCATTTCCCCAGCAGCTGCAAACAGCCAAGCACCTGCTGGGCTGTAGCACTTCGCTGTGGCCTCCGTGCTGGGGGAACGTATCAGGGGTGGGAGGGGGCAGGGGCAGCGCTGGTCACCCCCTTCTGCCCTGCCTCGGTCCTACACAAGTGGGAGCTTTTCCACAGGGACTTTCAAAGTCGCGCCTGGCCAAGGGGTTGCCCGGGTGTGAGCCAGGAAGGAGGCGGTGGCTGGCGAAGTCCATGCCCAAGTGCTTGATGAAGCCGAGAGAACAACCCGACAGCCCGAGGGCAGGTTGAAAAATCAGTGCTGACTGTCAACAAACCTCCTTCCCCCACCACCAACGCCGCCAGATTGTTCAATTGGCCTCGCAAACTCGGTGCAGGCCGGGAAGGGTTTTTCTGCTTCTGCATGCGGGTTCCTGCGAAGCATCCAGGCCATGGCAGGCAGGACCCCCAAAGTGCCTGTGGCCAGGACAGGCAGGGACCCAGGCGCCTGGGGTTGCTGCTGGTGGCAGGAAGGTCCCCGCAAACTGGCAATGCCCCGGGCGGCATATTTAGAGCGCACACACAGACACCCACATAGACAACCAAACACCCAAACAAGCGGCCAGTGTGCAGGGTTCACCACAGAACGCGCTGTGCTGCCTGACCCATAAACACCAGGGGCAGAAGGCTGGGGAGGGCGGGGCAGGGATGAGGCAGGAGGGAAGCCAGGGAGTGTACTTGAGAGTGGGAGATGGTGAGCTCTAGCTGTGTTTCCTGGGTATGTGGGGGGTGGGGGGTGGGGGGGTACCACTGTCTGGGGGAGGGGAGGAGAGGCAGCCAGGCAGGTGGTAAGCAGCTCTTCCCAACATAGAGCACTCCTGGAGAGAGCTCTCCCAGAAACCCCAGACCTTGGGGAAGCTCTTCCTCTTGGGGGGAAAATAAAGGAAGAAACACCAATCCCTCCCTCCAGCCCTGCTCCCTGCCTGGTTTGATCACTCTGGCCCTGGCGCCCTGGGGGGCGGTTAGCTCACGTGCTGCCTGCGGGCATGCTTGGACATAGAGACAGCCCCGCCTGGGGAACCTTAGGCTACTCTGGGGTCTGGAGCAGAACCCCCCAGACTGTGCTCTGGCTGAGGCTACAGCACTCCTGCAGTGTACAAAGGTGGGTGAGCCAAACTTCACCCTGCTCTGCCCTTCACTCCTGCTCCCCCAGAGATCCAATGGATGCCCCCAAAGGAATCAGTACCAGACTAGCCTTACCCTTCCCCCATCTCCCCACTCCCAATCAGTGGGCAGGTCTCCAGATGGCTTAGGAGTCAGTGCTTCTGCCACCCATGCCCCTCTCTGTCTAGGTTTTATAAACCTAATTATACCTCCTGTGTTCCCCACAGCACTTAGCCCAGCTGTGTTCCCCCCAGCACTCTGTCCAGCTTAACCCCAAATGGCCTAGCTCCCTGGGCTCCCTCAAGGATCCACATGAGCAGAATCCCTCTCCTTTTCAAATAGGCAAGGAAACTCTCCTAGATCCACTGACAACCCCCCATCCCCTCACCCCAGCCAGAGGATTACCCAGTCAACTAAAAAGGGGGTTGAGGGAGAACGCCCCCAGCTGCTTACATTAATACCAAAGATCCCGGGCCTCCCTGGTGGTGCAGCAGGTTGAGTGCGCAGCCCTGTGAAGCTGACAGCAGCCTCTGCAGTGCGGGTTCAATTCCCAGCCAGCCAGGGAGATACCCACATGGCGCAGCAGACCTCTCCTGTCTCGCCCACTGCTCCCCTCAGCAGTGCTTTCCATGTGTCTGCCTGTTCTGCTCCCCGCTCTGTCTCTGGTGAATTCTCTCACCCTCCCGCGTCTCTGGCCTGTACCCCAGCTATTGTATAAATAAAAAATAAGTCTTAAAAAAAAAAAACCCAAATATCCCTAGAGAGGGAGGCAGCTGCTGTCCTAACAGACACCCTAAGGACAGAGCATGGACTTGCTGCTCAGGTAGACCTGACGTGAGTCCTTAGTAAGGGCTTCATTTGTCTCATCCACAAAACGAAGTTAATCGTGTTAGGTGAGGAAATGCACGTGAGGTGCTTGCATGAACCTTGACACACACAGGAGGGCCTGTTGGAGGCCAGACACCACCAGCACCACCATATTTATTATTTCCTATTTTGGGGACATCTGGGCCCATGCTGTATACTCAGGAACTAAAGATGAAGCTTCAGGGTTCCTCTCTGCAAAGACCCCTCCAAGACTCGGCCCCTGATTTTGTACTTGTAATTCTGTGTTGTTTTTCTTGAGAAGTTCCTTCCTCCCCAGGTTTTATAAACCTAATTATACTTCCTGTGTTCTCCACAGCACTCAGCACAGGATGAGATTGAGTGCGAGAAGGGAAGGGGAGGGAAGGGGCAGTGATGTTGGTGATGGAGGGGTGGGGGCATGGCCAGGGGGCACTCACCCTGGAAGAGGGGGCAGATCTTCCTCCAGGCCGTGACGCTCCCTTGGCTGGTGTACTGGCCCAGCGCCACCTCCAAGAAGAACAGCGGAATGCCACAGGTGAAGAAGAAGATGAAGTAGGGAATGAAGAAGGCCCCTGTGGAGTTGGGGAGGCAGGGCTGAGCCTTCCAGCCCTGGCCCCCCTCCCAGAGTCTGGTGCTCCAGCACCCACCAGCCTTAATCTCCCTCCTCACCCCTTCCCAGAGGACTTCCTCCCGTCCATGAGCAGGGACAGGCAGGAATTTTCCAGTCCAAACCCCACTGGGGATCAGAGAGACCTCTGAAGGGAAGTGAATGAAAATTTAGGTGGAAATCTAATATAGGCACTATTTATTTTCTCAGTGTGCTTCACAAATCTAGTCAATTTATTATTTTTGGAACCAAAACATATGTTCTGTATAATTTGATATGCTTATTAAATTATTGAGTTTGTTACACTTTGGAGCAAAACAAACAAAAACACCTTGGAAAAATTATTTTCCCTCCAATAATTTTCAGAAGGTTTTTTCGCCCCCCTCCACCTGTTCTGAATGGAGATGCTAGCAGAGAAGGCCATTCCTCTGCTCAGGCAGATTTGGGGGGCTGGGGTCTAAACAGCCTGTGATTAGGCACTGATTACAGGCCCCAATCAGAGGCTAGACCTAAAAGACACCCCACAAATGACATGGGAATCAGAGCCAAGTCTAAATCCAGTCACTAAGGCACAAACTGCGTCTCTGAAATGTGTCCATGGGTGGATGGATTATTGCTTGTTGCACAGCCTTGACACTTAAGCAACAATTAGGTGCTTACTGTATATCAGGCACCCTTCTAAATGCTTCACCATCATCAGTCCACACAGAACAGCCTCCCATGCCACAGGTACTATTGCCCTTCCCATGTTATAGATGAGAAAAATGAGACCAATTTGAAGATTCAAAAACAGGGGAAAATGAGTCTCAAGTAGCCCAAAAGGGAAAGAAAGAAAAAAAACATCCTTCCAACTTTCTTATAAACACACAGATACTTATATATTTCTTTTTTTACATTTTTTAGCAAAAATGAGAACCTACTTTATATTACTTGACACCCATCAAAAATGTATTTATGTATAAAAATGTATGTATGTATGTATTAAAAATCACAAACCTCCTTTCATAGCAATAAATATATGCCTCCAACATCATTGCAAAGCCCTCCACCTCATACACCTATTCTAGTTCATTTCATCAGCCCGTCACTGTCCATTTTCAGCCCCTTGGTTAGAAGCACTGCTGTGATGAAGATGGTCCACATCCTTCTGCAAGTGTCTAATTTGCTACTTACTATAAATTTCCAGAGCAGGAATTACTGGGCCAGGGAGTATGTACATTTTTGTGTGTGGTAAGTAATATGTAATATAATTTTACCATTGTAACCATTTTCAAGTGTGCAGTACACTAAGTACATTCACAGTGTTGTACAGCCATCACCTCCAGAACTTTTTCATCCATCCCAAATCAAAATTCCAAACCCATTAAACTGTAACTGCCCATGCCCTGCCTTTGCAGCTCCTGCCAACCACCATCCTATTCTCCCTCTCTGAGTGTGTCTATCTTAGGTCCCTCATGTAAGTGGAGTCATACAGTATTTATCCTTTTGTGTCTGCTTCTTTGACTTAGCAGGATGTGTTCAATGTTCATCCATGTTGTAGCATGTATCCTTTTCAAGGCTGAATAATATTCCCTCGATGGATAGACTACATTTTGTTTTTCCATTTCATCCATTGACAGATATTTGGGCTGTTTCTACCTTTTGGTATAAACATTTAAAGATTTTTGATATGCACTTTGAAATCACCCTCCAAGACTCACATCCATCTGCACTCCCAACAGCAAGGAGAAGGATTTATGAGTTCCCAGAATCCTAGGGAGCTGTGAGAAGCAAGTCCTGAAGTCTTCTCTAAACTATGTTTGCCTTTACATCCTGAGAAATGTAAGAGCTTTAATAAACACAATGCAATACCACCACTGAGTCTCATTTAAGTGGCTTGCTGGGCTGCAGGGACTAGCCTGAGGGGTGTGTTCAGAAGGGAGACAGCTGGGGGGGGATATCCCCAGTGGAGAATGGGGGGCATGTAAACATAGGCTCCTTTCTACTAGCTCTAGTCAAGTAGATGGCTCTGGTTCTATCCTTGGGAAGTACACTTCTGCCCCACTGATGGGATGACTTGAGGAGGGTGACCTTAGGAGGTCTGGTTAAGTCCGCCCTGAAAGGGCAGCATTAGCCTAGGTCTTTGGGGGCAGCAGGCGGAGATTGGTTCTGGTTCTACTCTAGGGGTGGTCTCCATCCTTGGCTTTCTTCCTGGGCTTCCCACCACTCTTACTGCCCTCTGATGAACTTCTCAGGATGCTGGTTTAGGAGGTTAACCTGACCCACGGTTCTGGCATCTGCCCAGGTTATGAGCACAAACAGCCAGATGATGCACCACAGGGATCAGTGAGAACAGGGTGACTTGGAAGCTTGTTTACAATCTCTTCCCACTGCTCTACGGATTGCCTTATGATCTCGGCAAGCGCCCCTTCCAGAACCACTGACAAACTGGAAACTCAGAATTTTATCAAAGTCTCTGTATAGGCCGAATCATTTCCTAAGAATGAGTGGAATGGTGAGGCACAAGGTGGGGAAGAGGGAGAAACAATATTAGGTCACAAATTTAACGCTTGCCCACGTTTTTATAACCAAAGATGTTATTAAACCAATAGCCTTATTATTATTTTTCATTCTTTTGAAAGATTTTTCTCTGTGGAACTGGGTTTACTAATGATCATTTCTGTGCATATATTAATAAAAGCCACATTTAACTTGTCAGTCAGAGCTTATGGTCCATTTGAAATAAACCCTATTACCATAATGGATTCGTACAATTCTAAAGCAAAAAAATGGATATTTGCATTAATCTGTCACATTTCCACATAGATCCACTACGAAGTCATCCAAAATAAGGAATCTAATTCCTAGACCTTTATTACTACCTCCTAAGCCCCCCAAAACCAGTAACCCCAGGTTGGGACCCTTGAACTGCTTTAGCCCCTTGAATTAAAATGAAGGAAAGAAGATGGAGTGAGAGCGGCCTGGCTCTCCCAAGAAGGGAGAAGCAGATGACAGACATAAACACAGACCTTTCACGGGAAAGCTGCCTACCCAGGCCCACATTTCCTGCTCAGCCCAGCGTGATTTCCTGCCACCCAGGGGCTCTTGACCTGCCCCTTGGCCAGCACAAAGATCATAGCGGCAGCTGCAGCCACCAGGCAAGACGTAGGGTGGCCCTGGAAGCTGAAGCCCTGTCTCCTGGGCCTTCCTTCTACCTTCCTGTCAGGTGGCATGGCCAGGCACATATCTGATGGGGGCGTCAGTGAACACCAGAGCCTGCTGCTGCCAGTTGGCTCTGTGGTCTTGGCCAAGTCCTGACCTCACTGAAACCCTCTGTCCTCCTCTGTGAAATAAGGACTCAGTCACCTTTTGCTCTTACTTAATGTCTTTGAAACTGTGTCCTGGCACAAAGGAAAAAGTCACCACCTCTACCACTTCTTCCTGCTTCCCCTGACCCATCCCACTCAGTCCCCCTCACAGCCTACACCCCACAGTCCTGGTCTGCCCAGGAAATCCCACTTCTTTGTCTCTGGAGTCATGGGTTCAAGAAGTTTATAGTAATAACTGGAAGTTTTAAACACAGAGCAAGATACATGGTAGTAAATATTCGTTAAATGAAATGTAAAGGATTTCATTTAACATTTAGAAGGATTTTCTAAATGAGGGTTATCCTTAAATGGTAATGTTTCACCTTTTTACTTTTCTGGAATGTTCCCATATACACAATGAATATACATCATGGCCACAAGAAGAATGAAGGTATTTTCAAAAGGCAAAAATGAAGCTGGATGGTGACAAACAAATTCAGATAAATTCATTATTCTGTTGACATGAAATAACCCAAAGAGACGAGTCCACCCACAGAGAGTAGATTAGTGGTTGCCAAGGGTCGAGGGGAGAGGGACTAGGAGATATTGTTAATGGACTTGCTTTAGAGGGATGATGAAAGTGTTCTAAATCAATTGTGGTGGTTGCACAATTCTGTGAATAGACTAAAAACCATCTAATTGTACACTAAAGAAGGTGAGTCTGGCACCTTCCCACCATGCCTCTGCTCATTTTTACTACTAGTCCTCAACAATAATATTTCTTTAATTAAAAAATTATAGACAAGATAATCTCATTTCTCAGACAAAAAAATTTAATTGCTCCCATCTCACTCAGAGTGAGGAGCCAACAAGTTCTGAGTCCTGTTACCTCACTGACCTCATTTCTCACTACCCTTCCCAGCTCTCATCCCCCAGACACACCTGCCTTCCTGCTATTCTTCAAACATGACAGTTGCACTTTCACCCCAGGACCTTTGCACTTGCTGTTATCTTTGGAATTATCTTCATTCGGTATCAATGATTCAGTCCTTCACCTTAAGTCTTTGCTCAGATGTCACCTCCTCAATGAAACCTCTCCAGAGTGGTGACTTGTTTTGTGTTTCAAGTCCCTCTCCCCCAGCCTCTTGATCAACATGCCTTTGCCATCTTTTCTACTTTGCTTCTCACCATTCCACTCATCATCATTGAACATACCATGTTTTATTTATTTGTCTGTAATGCTATTCCAATAAAAATTTCAATGACATTCTTCAAAGAAATAGAACAATTATTGATGAAATTCATATGGAATCACCAAAAACCCCAAATAGCCAAAGCTCTCCTGAAAAAAAAAGAAGGGAATGGAGGCATCACACTCCCAGACTTCAAACTATACTACAAAGCCATAATCATCAAAACTGCATGGTATTGGAACAAGAACAGACACACCAACCAATGGAACCAAATAGAAAATCCAGAAATAAACCCACAGATTTATGGTCAACTAATATTTGACAAAGGAGCAAAGAATATGCACTGGAGCAAAGAAAGTTTGTTCAATAAATGGTACCCTTTACTAGTCTTTAATGTACAGTGTATGTTCTGTTTTATATCTAGATAGGTCTGGCAAATGATAAGCCCACAATAATATTAGTTGATTTTAGAAGATATTTGCAAATCATACATTCAATAGGGGGTTAGTATCTGAAATATACAAAGAATTCAAACAACTCAACAACGAAATAACAAACAACCCAATTAAAAATGGGCAGAAGACATTAATAGACAGTTCTCCAAAAAAGACAGATAGCCAAAGGCACTTGAAAAAAAATGTTCATCACACTTATTACTAGGTAATTACAAATCAAAACCACAATGAAGTATCACCTCAGAACTGCTAGAATGGCTATTATCAAAAGGACAACAGATAAGTGTTAAGAAGGATGTGGAGAAAAGAGAATCATCACACATGGTTGGTAGAAATGTAAATTGGTACAGTCATTATGGAAATCAATATGAACAGTCCTTGAAAAATTAAGAAAGGAAATATCATATGATCCAGCTATTTCATCTCTGAGCATCTGAAAACACTGTTACAAAAGGACAGTGCACCCCTATGTTCATTGCAATGTTTACAACAGCCAACATATGGAATATCCATTGATGAATGAATGGATAAAGATATCTCACACACACACACACACACACACACACACACACACACACACTGGAATATTACTCAGCTCTAAAAAAGACAAAATCTTGCCATTTGCAACAACATGGATGGAGCTAGAGAGCATTTGCTAAGTGAAATACATCAAATAAAGACAATATTGTTTGATTTTGCTCATATACGGATCATAAATAAACTAAACAAATGCAAATTTAAATACAGAAACATTGTTAGTTACTACAGGGGAAGGGGGTTGAGAAGCAGGTGAAATGGGTGAAGGGAGTCAAGTGTATGGTGACAGATGAAGACTAGATTTTTGGTGTTGATCGTGGTGCAGTGTTTATACATGCAGAATATAATGCAGTGCATCTAAATCTAAAACATGTTGCTCAATAAAATTGATTTTTAAAGGTAAAATAATGAATGAATTGGTTGAATGAATGCATCCCACAAATACCTAACATTTGTATAAAGAAATGAAGGAGCATATTAAAAACTCAGATTCCTGGGCCAGGCCCAATGCCTCACCCAGTCTTCACCACAGCCCTCTGAGGTGTCACCCCCATTTCACAGAAGGGGACCCTGAGGTCAGTGGTGGAGCTAGAACTCAACTCAAGTCCTACATCTCCACTCCAGCCTCCTTCCATTTTACCACCTTGCGCCCAGGGAGGCACTCCCTGGTGGTCAGGGCACAGCTCTCCCCACCACGCCTACCTCAAAGTGAACTCACCACCTCCATTTTTGTAGCAGAGATAGGGAAACCTCCAGACATTGCCCAGCCCAATGATCTCCCCGGCCACTGACAGCACAAACTCCATCTTGTTGGTCCATTGGCCCCGATCCTTCACCTGGTCCTCGCCTTCCAGATCCAACTTCTCTCCTTCCTCAGGGACCCAGGAGACCACAGGAGTCCCATCCTGTGTCACTTTTCTGTCCATAGCCATGTGATGAAGTGGGAGGTGGCAGAGCTGGGAGCGGGGCAGGACGGTGAGAGAGACACAGCCTGATGGGAGGAGAAGGGATGATGAGCTTCCAACCCAATGCATGCTCCCGCACCCCGCCACCCTACTCTTGGAATATTGCTTTAATAGTTGATATTGTTGGAATTCTATTTTATATTGTTGGAGTATTGATATCCTTCCCAAACTCTCACTGACATTTATACCTACTGTTATATTTTGCTCTTGTGATTCTCAGAGCAAATAGGGAGCAAACTTTAGAGCACCCATTTGGAAGATAGGAAAATCTCAGCCCTGACTAACTCACCGGGACCACTAGGGAGCACATTTGGATTAAAACTCAGGCTTATGGCTGTTCAGTGTAAGTCCTTTTGATTTTTACAGACAGCCACCATCCTCACTGGCCCATCTGCCCAGTTCTTCCCTCCAGAAGGGTTCAAAGGCTGCTGGGGGAGACAGGAGATCAAAGAGCAGGTGTGACCGAGGCAACTGCATGGTCTTCCCCTGGCCAGCTGTGTGCTCATCCCTGTGCCAGCGTGATCGATCAGCTCAGGGTAAACATGGGAGCCAGCTCGCTCTGGGCATCTGATTGGGAGGGAAGGAGAAGGTGGGACCTCTGAACAAGGCCAGATGAGCACTGGGACTGATGCCAGGACCAAGTGTAGGCCTTCGAAGGAACCACGTTTCTTTTTCTCTTGGTTTTACCTCTGTTCTGAGAACTGGGGGGGGGGGGGTGGAGGGCAGGGGGAGGGCCGTGGTAGAAGAGGTCACGAGAGCAATTCTCCCTAGGATGGTGGTCATCTCCAACCTCCACATCAGAGTGAGTCCCTCAAGAGAGAGGCCCACAAGTGGCTGCCCATGGTGGCAGGTCACTTCCCTGCCTCCTAATGAGCCCAGTGTTCCCTGGATCTTCAGAAATATGACGTGGGCCATTCAGTTTTACTCTGTCCCACTAGTTGTCTGTCAACTGCCAGGAGATAATTGCAGCAGCCTGTGGTGCCCCATGTGGAATCCATTTGCCTTCCCTTCCCACCCCACCCCCACTATCACTCTGAGGGCACCTCCCATTTTATCTCCAGGGAGCTGCCAGCAGAAGGTGTCTGCCCGCAGTGAGCACCCATCCACCACTCTCAGCTCTGAGGGGCATTAGGGGAATCAAAGTGACCAGGAGCTATAAGCATCCTTGATCCTCCTAGGCCCTCGAGAAACACAAGGGATTCTTTTTATTAAAAGAAGAGTCTGTGTTTATTTGTTGGTCCTTTAACCCAGGCAACAGCCCAAGCCCAAGTCAGTTAGAAAGGCGTGGCAGGGGCCATTTGAGGTTATGGAAATTTTTGAAGGTGACTTGGAGGGTGCAGGTTATACCAGGAATGGGAAAGCATAGCAGAGAGAAATTCTGGTATTGGGACCTCCTCGGAGGGAGGCTTTGCTAGCAAGCTCAGCCCAGGGGGCAGATGAGGAGAGAGGCCCCAGTGGAAATCAAAGGTCTTGAGCCTCTGATGTAAGGGGCAGGATGAAAAAGAGGGAAGGGGATGAGAATTCAGAGTGAGAGGCCAGAGCCCTAAGAACCAGGTCCTGGGTGGGGGAGAAGTGGGGGACAGGGGAAGAGTTTGGTTCCAGGGGAAAAGCTGTAAGTGTTGCTACAAAATTGGGGGCTGAAGCATGATGAGCAATGTCCCCTGAATCATGAACAAACAAATGCATGAACAGATGAATGAGTGAACTAGAAAATATTGATGAAAATGCACCAGGCAGGAAACCCACATTCTAGTTCAGCCCTAGCAAATCACAACAATAAAAGTACAGATCTGAGTAAGCACTATGCTGAAAACATACCCATCTTTAGATACATATTAAATTTCATCTCTGTAACTAATCTTTAGAGAAGCAATTACTATGAACTCCACTTTATAAATGAGGAGATGAAGCTCAGAGAGATTAAGGAACAGGAACTGGCACCCAGCAGGTGCTCAGTAAAACTATTTTTGAAAGGTTTGAACAAACTTACCAAGACAATAGGTGGTGGAGCTGAGTCTGTAATCTGCTGTGTGACCTTAGGCAAATCACACCTCCTCTCTGGGCTTTAAGTTTCCCTGCAAGAGAAAATGACCCTTGCTCCACAATGAGTTGGGAAGGGGTGGGGGGTGGCAGAGGCAATTGAGGAGGATAGAACAGAGATCCATAAAAGACAAGAACAGAGGATTTCCTTTTTCAGGCCATTGGGGAGCTCAGCTCTGGGAGAGCCCCAGGTACAAGGGTCGCCAAGGGAGTGGTCAGGAGACCAGCCTCATGTTCGCAAACTAGAGGCAGCTGTTTCGGGGCCAAGCTGTCCTCACGGGTGGGGGAAGGGAACACTGTTAGGGACAAGGAGTAACTGAAGGGAAATCCACAGGAGAGCTGGACACAGGCAAGTAACTCCCAGAACCCAGTTTGGGCCCAGGGTTTACTGGGGATGGGAAAGAGCGATAAGAGAATATGAACTGATAAACTTAGCCTGATGTGACATGTTTAAAAAAAAAAAAAAAGTAATGGGGAGGAGCATAATTTATGGGTAAGAATGAAAAACCGGAATGGCAGAATGAAAGCAAGAGCATGTGAAAAGGAAAGTTGGCTCAGGGCCCTGGCAAATCAAGGAGAAACAGGACTGAGCGGCAGCAAGCAGGATTGAAGTTAGACTCAGGAAAGAACTGTCCAGGAGGACATCAGGCATCCAAACAAGCTGTATGGGGCTCTCCTTTTGGGGGATACTTTTAAAATTCAAAATAGCTGTACAGCCCACCCTCCTGCCCCCCACCCTCCCATTTTGTCCTTCTACCCCTAGCCCGTTTGTTAGGAAGAGTTAAACCACAGTGTTATCCACAGTCAAGATGACGTCCAGAGCGCTCTCCCTCCCCAAGGCTCCATCCTAGCTCTGTCACCTCTCAGCCCCTAGTCTCACTTCCCCACCCGGCCCACTGGGGGCCATGAGATGGGCCCCATCAAACATCAGTGCCCTCCAGAAGCGAAGCCACCATGCCAGGCTCAGCGCTGCCTGAGGAGGAGGAAATATCCAAGACTAGCGAGTACAAAACTGGCTGTTCTCAGAAGCTGGCCATGTAGACAGAGGCCGGACCAGGGTCTAGCAGAGGGCCGGAGGTATAGAAATGCTACTCCCCAGATGTTGCTGGGGTCCCGGCTCCATCCTGTCACACTTCCCAATCCAAAAGAGCCCTGGCATGGGCGGGGGAGGGGGTACCACGGGACGCCCCAGCCCCTGCCCCAGCCCACACCCACATACCAGGTCCCATTCCTATACACACACTGGTGCCAGTCCCGTCACATCCCTTTGCACACACATACCTGTGTGCATGACACCAAAACCTGGCTCACTCTAGTCCTTCACACCCCGTAAAGCGGACCCCCTGCGCCTTCCCCTCAGCTCCCTCATGGCCCGCTCCAACGCAAGCATCTCCACGCTTCCCTGCCACCCTTGAGCGGGCACAGCGTCCTCCAGGAGACACGGGCTGGCTGGCAGAGAGAGGGCAGGATCCCCGGGCCTGCCCCAGGGGTGCTAATTGCAGGTCGTGGGGCTGCAGGAATGCCCGGGGTTTCTGCCGCGGGCACCCTGGCTCCCCCTCCCTCTAGGTCAGCTGACCAGCCCCTCTTTCACCCACTCGGGGCGACTGGCCCCCCATCTATGGGCTTTCCTGCTGCCCAGACTTGGCTCTGAGCAACTCCGAGTTTGTGGGTGTGAAAGCTGGAGTGGCACCCCTCGTCCTAGGATCCCCCAACAGCAGACTCTCCTCTCCCCCAGCTGATGGCAGCGCAGAGGCCCACAGTCCCGCCGTCTGGCCTCCAGCTCTCACGCCTGCAGCCCCAAGAGGCAGCTCTCAGAGCCGCGAGGTCACCGAGCCCTCCCCTTCCTGCTCACCTCAGCTCCTGGCTCCTGCGGTCAGCTCAGCTCCATGTCCCCGGGACAGTCCCCGGGAAGCCGGGCAGGGAGAATCCAGTCAGCCGGACCTGAAAGGGAAACTGTCCCCCGCCTTCACTCCTGTGCCTTCCAGCTCAGAATCCCATCAGAGTCCGTGTCCCAGGAGTCCCAGACAGAAAGCGACTCTGTGTGTGTGTGTGCGTGTGCGTGTGTGTATGTGTGTGTGTGTGTGTGTGTGTGTGTGTGTGTGTGTGTGTGCTTGCGCCAGTGAATTGGGAAGTGCAGGGGCAGAGAAATACCACAATCAACAGGAGGGCCTGAGGCCAAAACTTGTGAACCAGGATTACAACATCCAACCTCAGGAAATGCAGTCCTCTGGCCCCGGCCCCCCACCCCCACCCCATTCCCGCTGCGCATCCCTGCCACCCCCCCCCCCCCCCAGTGGGCCCTGGCCCAGGACAGGCCTCCCCAGCAGCCCTCTTTTCGCTCCCGGTGCCTCCTCCCTCTCCCCTTCTCCCCTCTCCCTCCCTCCCAGTACCAGCTCCTTCCCGGGAAGAGGCGCTGGGGTGTCTGGGGCAAGGTACAGCCCTCTCTTACCTACCGAGCCGTAGGTGGGAGCCACCCACTCCCAGACTGGAACCAGCCTCACTGCCGAGGGCACGAGAGCTTGGGAGGAGGGTGAATCACACGCTGGAGTTTTCCACCGAGTACCTGCTTCTTTGGTTTCAAGGCTGGGCTTAGACCTTCACAACCACAGCCCTTTCCTTGGGATTTTCCTAGAGAAAGTGCCCACGGCAGACCTCAAGGAGCACAAGCCAGAGAGGACACAGGTCTGCTGTGGGCCAGACCTGAGCTCCAACCCCTCCTCTGTCATTTGCTCCTCTCGTCTTGTCAGCGAGTACAGAGCTGAGCCTCAGTTTCCAATCTGTGAAAGGGAGCTCCCCACGCTTCTGGGGCAGGGGTGCAGAGCGCTTAAGGGGAGCTGCTGGGGGTTGCTGGGGGTCCTCTGGGAGCAGGAGCCGTGGCTTGGGGGCATCTAGTCCCAGGTGGAAATGACAATGCTCCGGTGACCTCCTGACACTCTGGCCAGAGCCAGGGCTTGTCTGACTGCCTGGCAGGTATCAGCGGTGAGTTAGTAGTTGTTGAATAAATGGGTGCATGCCCCGTGCTGCAGGCCCAGCGAGGTTTTCCAGAACAGGGTCCTCATCGCCGGTCCAGCGCGTGCCCTGTCTCATGACCGTTCATTCAGAATAAGCAGGCTTCCTTCAGACAATGAAGATGCTTCTTCAGACCCAGGTGGTGTGGAGGGAGGGGAAGTGGTGGGGAGAAAGGGAAATCCCCTTTGCCTGTGCTTCCCCTTCGTATTTTAGAACTTCCCAGCAGGGCCTGGGTGTGAAGTGAGAGCAGCAGTCTGTAGTTTTCCATCAAGCACCCCCACTCACTGGCGCCCAGGCCCCTCGCAGCCTCTCCTGTGGGGTTCCCCATCAGGAAAACCAGAACCGGTCTCACTTCTCGACCCTTTGCCTCTGAAACCAGAAGCTGGGCTCAGGGTCAGCTCTGGCAGGGCAGGGCATGGCCTCATTTGAAATTCATACCATAGTTACCCCTGTGCTCACAGGGACATGTGACTGACTGTGTCCCTGCATGCTGGGGCCACCGTATGTCATCCTTAGGGCTAACTGGACAGAAGACACCCAAGTCTAAGAGACCACCCAGCTCAGGAATAAAATCCCAGCCTCTCCATGAGGGGAGCAAGAGGGAAGAAAATCAGGCTGGAACGAGGGTGAATTTCTTAGCTCATTTACCCATTTAGAATTTTTCTTTTGTGCCTATGATATGTCAGGTTTCCTGAGCATCTAACTCAGGTTAAGTGTTTGACATGTCACCCCATTTAATCCTCGCAAGAACCTTGAACTGTAGGGATTATTCGAACCAATTTTCAAATGAGAAAATTGGGGCAAACAGAAGTTAAGTGATACGGGCCTCCCTGGAGGCACAGGAGGTCAAGTGCAGCACAGTGAAGCTGTTCACAGCCTCTGCAGCACGGGTTCGATTCCCGGCTGGCCAGGGAGATTCCCACATGGCAGGGCAGACCTCTCCTGCCTCACCCGCTGCTCCCCTCAGCAGTGCCTTCCGTCCGTCTGCCTGTTCTGCTCCCTGCTCTGTCTCTGGTGAATCCTCTCACCCTCCCGCACATCTGACCTGTACCCCGGTTCTTGTATAAATAAATAAATCTTTAAAAAAAAATAAAAGAAGTTAAGTGATACATCCCAAGACCATGCACTAGTGAATGATGGAGCTGGGATTTGAACCTGGGCCTCTTGGCTCCAAGAAGCTGACCATGTTGCACCACAACATACTATTTCCTAAGTCTTTTTTAAAATAATTATTTAATTATTTATTTTAACATTTATCATTTTTTAAATATTTCCTAAGTCTTAACAGTTAACAGGTAGGGTTCACATATCAAAATGCCTTGTTGCTGCCTCTAGCATTTACTACAGTGCTGGCTCTGAGTAGGCATTTGACACTGGAAGGAAGGAAGGAAGAAACTTGAGGGGGAAAAATTATCCCAGAACCAGGGGATAAACCAGGGCTTGGAGGACTCTGGTCCAGCTCTTCCTGGAGATTACTGCTGGTGCTGAGCAGCACCCTTGGGCTCAGGATGTAGAATCACTTCAGGGCTCCTCTCCACTGCCTCCTAGCAAAAATGCTTGCACAACAACGGTGTAGTTTTCTTTCTAGAAACCAATGGAACCGAATGTCTGAGACAGGGAGTCAGAGGACAATGAAGATGTGTCTGAGCTCTTCCTGGGCTTTCCTATCTCGTTGGCAGGTCAGTTGAGGTTGCTGGAGGCAGGGGAGAGAGGATGAATTTGCTTGAGTGTGTCCACCCTCCACCGGACACCAGCAGCACAGTGATGTAAATCTCATTTCCATTTTGTAGAGGAGAAATCAAAGAACCAGAGAGGTGATGTGTACAAAGTCACAGAACTAGTAAGTAGGAGGTCTAGGACCCAACCCAGAGCTACAGATCTCTGCTGGGCTGAGTTTGAGCACATGGGATAATGAGGAATGAGTGCCTGTGCGCACGGGGATAGATCTAAGTCTATCAGGTGTGCAAGGACTGAGGAGGGAGACTGGAGGCCCCTGTTGGGCTCAGGGCCTACTCTGTTGGATCTCCAAGGGCTGTGGAGTGTAAGTGTCAGTTACCTGTGCTCTGCTCTCTCGTTCAGCTGTTACTTCCCCCGAAGCTCTCCCTACCTGCCTTTCTCCATTACCGCTGTGGCTTCTAATCCAGAAACGTCCCTTCCATCTGAGGGCTGCAGTATCTGGGATCCATCCTTCCAGGTAGAGAAAGCAAATGGGACTGAAAATGTCGCCCCTGCCCCACTCCCCCACATCCCACCTTGACCTGGCCAATGACTTTTCTCTCACCTCCCTGCCTGTTGGTCCCCTGGGTGGTTTGATTGGCATTCCCCCATCTCAGCAGCTGGTTTAATGACTTCATACCTTTGGCGCCCCAGTGTCTGAAAGGGCTTCACGCCCATTACCTCATTTGAGCCCTACAAGGAACCCATGTGTAGGCGGGGAGCATGGTGTTATATCTCCAGCTGAAAAAAAGGGAAGGCGTGAATTCCAAGTACCTTCCACACAGATCCACAGCAAGTGAGAGGCAGGTCAGAACTAGAACCCATGTCTCCTGAGCCTTAAGCCAGTGGCTTGTTTCCACACTGCATTCCACCATGATGAACCTCCTCAGCAGAACTCACACCAGCATCCTGAGCTGCCCACACCTCTGCCCAGGCCCAGCCAACACTTGTACTCTGACCAGCTGCATGGATGGACACGCACACCTGCCACCCTCAGAAGGGCCTGCACAGGCCACCCGGCTCTTGTCAGGCTCTTCCCTGGGCCCAGCTTGTTCTTTCTATAGCACTTTGCTCTTTTCTTTCACAGCATTTGTAACAACTTGTGGATAAGTCTTTTTTTAGTACTTCATGAGTCACCAGCATCACACAGCACCATGTAGTAGATGTTCTGGAAATATGATCAGGTGGATGGAGAGGCCAGGGGTGTGGCAGCTCAAGTGTCAGTATGTTTCTCTGGATTCACTTCTCCCGTCTGGGACTGTGATTGGGTTTGGCACACTTGAGTGTGTGTGCCACTGTCCACGAAGGAGCCGCACAGGCTGACACTCAGTAGGGCTGCTGTTACAGTAGGGGTGCTGTCATTCATTCCCCAACAATAACTGAAAATCAAAACCTGAAGGCCAGTAAAGATGTCAGTGCATTTTCCACTAACTGACTTGTAAAAAAAAAAAATAAGAAAATCACCCAGGGAGTGTCATGCACCCTTAATCTGCAGCTCTAAGAGTCACAGGATGGTCCCCTGGAACAGCACCGGAAGACCCATCTGAACAGAGGTGGGGGTGCGGGCAGCTGCCTAAGCCTTCACATATATATTCAGGGAGAAATGCAGCTGTGTGTACTCAGTTGTTCACACACACACACACACACACACAAACGCACGTGCAGACACATGTGCTCCAGCTCCACACATACCCTAGAGGCGAGGCTGCAGAGACACACCTGTGGAATCCTCAGGAACCACGACCATACCCAGGGACCCTGAGCTCAGCAGGCTTTGCCTTCTGCCTTGGTCTTTACAAACTAGCCCCAAGAGCTCCTCTGTGCAGCTCAGGGCCTAACAGCAAAGCAGGGCTCGGTCACGGCTGTGCTACCCCCTTGTGGTCACACTGGCCGCCAGGCATCGCGTCTGTCCTCTTCTGAGGCCAGGAAGAAGAGCGAGGTGGTCCTGAGGAAGTGGGTCCCTCTGCTGGCCAAGCCTGGGTAGTGCCCTGCTGTGCCAGAATTTTCTGTGCCTGCTGCCTCAGCCTGCAGTCTCCACTGTCCCTCTCTATGGCCCCCGGCACCAGGCCCTGGTGGGGGTACAGTCCTGGTCTCAGCAAGCAAGGGCGGGCCAGGCCATGCAAGAGAAATGTGGGCAGGAAGAAGCCACAAGCCCCGGCCTCTCGCTGGGCCCTGGCCCCTTGCTTCCCACGGCAATCCCCTCACAAGGAAACCCTGTGAGGGCTGCTGACCTCGGAGGCCATGACTTTCAAGTGAGCAGGTGGTCAAGGCAGAAGAAACCAAGCAGAGCGGCTCCCAGTGGGTGGGAAGAACATGGATTTAATGGAACGAAGGGAAGGAGCCCCACAGCCAGAGCTCTCACCCCGCCCTCCGGCCCTCACCCAACTTCCCAAAGCCCTTTCAGTGTCAAATGCCTCTTGACACTGGCATTGCATAGTTGTGATTGGGGGCAGGAGGCCTCAGCTCAGAAAGTGGATTCCCAAATATCCCCTCTGTCTTATCTGGCCCAGATGGGGGCAAAGAATCATGGTGAGGAGGTGGCCCCACGGTCTGGCTCCCCAGCTCCAAGGTGGGCAGCAGCTCTCCTAGCAGTGAGACTCCAGTTCTGTGAGTCTCAGGAGTGATGTCTTGGGTGTGGCAGGAGGAGAGGGTGCTGGTTGGTTCTGGTTCTGTTGCGGCAGGTCCTTAGCCGGGCACACAAGTTGGCGAATTCTCTGCAAGGAGAAGGGATGGGCGCAAGTCTGCCAGCTTCCCATCACCAGTGCCTGCCTGCCTGCCTCCCCGTGGGCACACCTGGCCTCCAGGCACCAATGTTATGATCATGTTTGTCTTGGACGCATCCAGTCTCCTTCTGAGACTTCTGAGCGCTCATTCTCCCCCTGCCTCGGGCCCCTGTGCACCAGCTTGCACCCCCGCAGGCAGCCCACCCATCATCATTTCCCACCCACCGGCTTCTTACCCCTGTGATGCTTTGCCCGACACTCCCTACCTCTCTGAAGGAGCCCTTGAGGGTGCTGAGTTTGTAGACACTCCATGCGGGGATGCAGACCATGGAGGACAGAGCCAGGAGCCAGCCCAGCGCATCTCCCCACCACGGGTACGTGTACTTCTTGTTGTAGGTGAGCGGGGTGTATTTGATCAGAGAGAAGAGAAAAGTGGCCTGCGGGTGAGAGTGAGAGAGATAAGGTCTGGGGAGCAAGGTGTGTGCCTTCTGCACCACACCTCAGGCCAAGATCTGCACTCAGGCTCACCCAGGCCTATAGCCCCAGTCCGCATTCTGTTCAAAGCCCACATGCCCCACAGGTCACCTGCCCTGTCACTCCCAGGCTGCTCGTGGCCCAGGCCACCTACATGAGGCTGCTCTCCAGACAGGACAGGGCTCTGTGCCTGCCAGGCATCAGGTGTCTGAAACTGCACCATCAGAGGGTGGTGAGCACCTCAGAAGAAGGGGTCTACCCTCACCCCCCATCCCTGCATACATGGGTGCTCAGGGGAACTGGTGACACTTTGACAAGCCAGAGGAAGCAGCACAGAGTAGTTCGAGGCTCAGACCGTGGAGCCAAGCTACCTGGGCTTGAATCCTAGCTCTGTCCTGTCCTAGCTTGGGTCTATTGCTTCACCTCTTTGGCTTCAGTTTCATCTGTAAAATGAATATAATGGTAATTCTTACCTCACAGAGTTCTTGTGAGGATTAAATGGGTTAACATGTGTCAAGCGCTTAGTTCCAGGCACTAGGTAAGTGTTCTGGAACTGCTGCTGTCATTACTGCTGGATTAGCAGTAGCAGTAGGAGCAGCCCATGCCCTTGGGTCAGGCCTGCCTGCCACTTCACACTCACATTGTGGAGTTGGCCCAACAGTCTGGACCTCAGGTTCTCCTTCTGTGAATTGGAAAGGAAGAATCTATCTCGCTGGCATTTTCTAGACTCTAACAGGAAGATGAATGAAAATCTGAAATGATTTTCAATCCCCGGGGAGAAGTCTCTTCTAGGTTGAATGGCCTGTCCACCCTCCGGCCAGCACCACCTCTCTATCCCTTCATCTGGCTTCATCCCCTGAGGATCATCTTACTGTGCACACAGCCGGTGTGAGGAAGAGCCAACAGTATTTGATGAGAGGCCACGGCCTGTATCCAATCATGTCTTCAATGTTGTCATAGAAGCGCCCGGCTCCTACCATGAGGAAGAGAAGGGGGGAAGGCAGGGCAGGGACATTCTTAGCAGCACAGCATCAGGAGTGGGGCTGCACAGACCAGCACAGGCAGGGGCCAATCAACAGAAGACGTCATGCTCATCTTTTCAGATCACTGCCAAGAGAGAACTTGTCCCTGAATTTCTAGTATGCACGGCAGTGGGCAGAACTGGGCGTAGGCAGAGGTCCTGATGACCAAGGCCGTTCAGGGCTGAAAAGGTTTGGACAGAGCAGGATGTGGTCTTGCTTTGGGGCTGAGGGGGAGGGGACAAGGCAACCTCTAAGGGACCCTCCCAACTGTAGCAATTTAGGATTCTTGAGATATTTGGGGATGAGAAGGAGAAGGGGAAGAGATGGGATGAGCAGTGCGTGTCAGTTTCTTGTCTAAGGGCCTTGGAGGGAGGTGAGTGCGAGAGCTGGGGCCTGGGAGAAGGGTCACTCACCATAAACCCAGGCCACACAGAGGGATTCAAAGATGGCCACAAACAGGAGGCACATGCCACTGGCTGCATAGTAATCAAAGAGCTGAAACACATACATCCCGCCCTGCCCAGGAGGAGAGAGAAAAAAGGACTTTACCCAGAGGAAACTGATTCACCCCCACCCCCTCCATTCTCATACCCTGGGGCTACAGAGCAGAGCTGATGAGATGACAGGGGTCAGATGTTAGAGGAAATGTCTAACATAGGGACTGTAAGGTCCTATGCAGATAGGAGACAATAAGTTCGTTTTTATTGGTTCTGGCTGGGAGAGAGATGAAACAGAGCGATCGTTAGATGATCCCTGGGACATTTAGGGACTGACTCAGAAGTCTAAGATATGTGCGCAGGTTTGGACCAGGATCAGTCAAGCTGGCATCAAGCTGGTGAGAGCCACCTCCTTCCTTCTCCCCAGAGACATCACACAGAGCATCACCCATTCCTGTGTGAGATTGGTTCAGCTTCTTGGGAAATCATGGAATCTTGCGGGAGAGGAAGATTTTCCTAATGCAAGATTTCCTGATCATCCTTTCCATGTTTCTTAGCTTCCCGTGGAAACTAAGAAGTGTGGTCACAGCCATCCCCAGAAGTGTGGTCAGTGCCCAAAGGCCAGAGAAGGGGCTCCTCTCTTGGTGCTGTGGTGGCTGGAAAGGAGGGAGTCCCTTGGCCTGACACTGGAAAGGCCTGACACTGTGGCCACTTGGAGCCACAGCAGCCCGCTCCACCGGGCAGGGAGCAGTGGTCCTCCTGGGCCTCTTCCTCCCCCAGTCCCTGCCTTCGAGCCTCCCACACCCTCACCTCTGTGAGCATGACCAGCCCCACAAGGAAGGAGATGACAGAGACGCCCAGGATGAGGACCTCCCTGCGGTTCTTCTTGCGGAACACACGGGGGTACATGTCCACCAGCGCTGTCACCAGGCTTTCTACGCACACAAACTGGATGAGAGGGAAAAGAATTGGAGGGAAAGAGAGCCCCCAAAATAAGCCCCTTTACTAGCGCTGGCTTATTGCTCCCAGGTCAGCTGTGCCAGCCTCCCCACCCCAGGTCCCCGGAGCTGTCCTTACATGGTTAAATCTGAACCCCAGAAGAGTGTCCTCTCTGACATCTGCCCAGTCCCCAGCTGCTCGGCCTCATGTCTCCTGCTTCACCTCCCCAACCCACACCCACCCACTCATCTCAGACTCGTGCGGCCACCGCTTTATACCTGGCTGTCCAGTCCCAGGAGCACCACCATGAAGAAGAAGCAGCAGGCCCAGACAGGGGAGAAGGGCAGCATCACCACCGCCCGGGGGTAGGCGATGAAAGCCAGGCCAGGGCCTAGAATGACGAGCAGAGGACACACTGTGCCGTGTGGGGCCACGGAGCCACAGGAGGCTTCCCCCCAAATTATATCGCCACTACATCCTCACCCAGAAAAATGCCCAAGACTCTACCTGGTCCCCACATTCCCAAGGCACCATCCACTGTTTCAGAGCGCAGAGGCTAAGGGTGCCAAAGGCTTTGGAAAATAAAAAAGGAGTACCCTCATTTCTTTAAGGTGAAGCCCAAACCCCCAGGTCTCACTCTCCAGATCTATCACCCCACATTAGGGACTTCGAACATAAAGAGAGTTCCAGGCCGGGCTGCCCTGCGCAGCTGTAAAGCTGACCCAGTGTGAAATGAGGACATGGTCAGGCGTGATGTGCCTGGAACCACCATGTCCCAGTGAGGCCATCAGGGCATGTCCCTCTAAAGCAGAGGGTCCCAAAGGAAAGGCCACCAAGACAAGGCTGGGCCTGGGGCCACCCGTTTGCCATCCCTGCACCCAGAGCATTTCTGTCACCCCACAAATAAACTGGCATTAATTTCAGGGAACCATTGATATACATCTTTGCAAATAAGTCAATGTTCCTCTCAGCTGACTCAAATGGCAGGGACAGAGTCCCCTGCCAGCACTGGGGTTCATCCATAGGAAATTTCCTTTAAATATAGAGTATCTGTGTGACCTTGGATGGTGAATGGCACCTTCAAGGTTTCACACTGGCGAGATGGGCATAGTACAAGTGGATACCTGCTCCACAGTTCCCACCACTGTCATGGGCAAAATGCCCTGCACGGTGCCTGGCATCCAGTCAGTGCCTAATACAAGTGAAGTATAACCATTTTTAATAAGAATCAGGGATGTCAGTTGCCCGGCACTTGGCATTCTGGGTGACAGGTGTGTATTCGTGAATGCTATGATGAAAAATTGTCTGGTTATAAGAAAAGGCGGGAGTGGGCCACAAGAATAGGGACAGGAAGAGAAACATCTAGGGATCACCCAGATAAGGGATCAGTCCTTGATTTTATTCAAAGCAGAGCAACAACATCCATCTTTAAGAGGGGAACATGTGCCCAGGTGAACTTATCTCTGAGATACACTTTCAAGTGAATGTAACAGGGCAGGTTGAGCCCTGCAGTGGCATGTTATCAGCTGGCTTTAAGGAGGGATAAGGGGCCTCCCTGGTGGTACATGATTTCAGCGCTATCAAGCTATTGCCAACCACTGCTGCAAGAGTTCGATCCCGGCCAGGGAGCTGACTCACATGGCACAGCAGACCTCTCCTGTCTCGCCCACTGCCGTGTGTTTCAGTCAATCCACCTATTCTGCTCCCCACTCTGTCTCTGGTGGATCCTCTCACCCCCGGCATCTCTGGCCTGCACCCCAGCTCTTATATGCATAAATAAATAAAAATAAATCTTTTTTAAAATTTTTTTAAAAAGGAGGGGTAAGAAAAGCATATGTACATGCAGGAATGGTGCATTGTATTGGTGTGTTTCTGACAGGATTGCCACAGACTGCAGATACTGGTTACCTCTAGGGTAAGGAACCAGAGGCCAGGGGTGGGGCAGAAAGTGTCCACCATATACGCTTTCACCCCTTGAAGCTGGAATTACTGTTGAAGTCATCCCCCAGGCCTTCCAGGATGCAGCCACTGAAAGGTGGCCACAGCTAACAAAGCTCCCAGAATCCATGGCTCCCCAACAACACTCACCTGACTCGGCCACCTCAGAGATGGGCACCCCCTGCTCCTGAGACATGAAGCCCAGGATGGAGAAAATGGCAAAGCCGGCCACGAAGCTGGTACCGCTGTTGAGGAAGCAGAGGGCCAGGCAGTCCCTGTGGGACAGGGCGGGGAGGGTGAGCATGAGTGGGTTAGAAAGGGGCTGCCATGTCTTGCACCCCCAGAGCCCATGGCCCCTCCTGTGGATAGGCAGGCTGTTACAGAATTCAGATGCACATGAGGGCTGGGGTCTGCAGCCTGTGCCCCCTCCGCTAGCTCAGACCAGGAGTAAATCAAGGTCGTCCTGAGGAATGAGGTTCTAGAAGGTAAACCATGAATCTAAACGTGACAGGCTGACATGCAGTGGCCCCTCCCCCACTGCACTGACACACCTCTTGGGACACGACAGCTTTGACCCAGGTCAGTCAGGGCGGCTGATGGAGGGGGCACAGGCATCCATAATCCCAAGAACAAGTCATCCCTAGTCACCTAGATTTGATTTTGAAACACATGATGGGATTTTTTTCCTGCCAATATTAAAATTGGCTTTAAATTTCTGAGTATGAGCCAGGTAGGCCTCAGGGGGAAACCTGAGGTGGAAAGGGTCAAGGTGAAAACAGTAAGGATTCAGTGTCTGCTGGGGCAAGTGGACTCAGCTGCACTGCTTGGCTCTCTGGTTCCTCCCCCGGCTGCTTTTACAGCCCGAGGGGCCAGGCCCCTGCAGTGGTTTCCCCGACAACCCAGCCCTTAGAGTTACCCTCTGCCCTTGCTGCACATGGCTCCTTTCAGCTCCTGGCAGCCCTGGGGGACTAAAAAGTGGGGTGAAGGCAGGGGTTGGGGAGTGCAGAACTCCATGAGCTGCTGTACCCTCCAAATCACCTCTGATCTAGTATAGCCAGAGGGACAGCAGAGGGGTGCAGGTTTGGGGCTCTGACCCCGCTCCCCCGGTCACCTGTAGCAGTTGTTGTGGAACTTGTTGTAGCTGCCGAGGGCCGTCAGGCACCCTAAACAGATGGCGAAGGAGAAGAAGATCTGGGTGCCTGCGTCCATCCACACCTAATCAGGGAAAAGGCAAGAAAGCTGCACCCCGAGAAAACCAGGCCAGTTGAGCCTCCTCGGAAGGACACAGGCACGTGGGTGGGCCGGGCACTGGCTAGGGACGGTGAGTGCCCATGCGGGCTTCCCAGCCACCCGGTTCTCCCCTGTGGGCTCTACCCCTTGGGCCCCAGATGGAAATTCTTGGGCATGAGCAGGAGGGCGTAGGCATGAGGCATGCAAAGAAGATTGAAGGACCCGCGGCGGAGGTGTGGGGATGGTGGGTGCTGCCCTAAGCTGGGAACTAAGCTGGATCTGACACCCCGTCTTTATTTTTTTATATAAAGATTTATTTATTTATGCATACAAGAACTGGGGTACAGGCCATACAAGAACTGGGGTACAGGCCAGAGGTGCAGGGGTGAGAGGATTCATGGAGACAAAGCCTCCCTTCTGTCCCCAGGGTCTTCTCTCGTAGGCTCTCCTGGCTGTGGGGCCAGCTGGGAAGGAATTCAGGGACAGGCTCTCGAGTGCCCTCAGAAGCACGTAGCTTCATCCCTCAAAACTCTGTGTCTGGCAAACAGGAAGAATAATCCTCAGCTCACAAACAGGCAAGAGGATGAACAGAAGTACATCTGCAAAGGGCTTTGTACTCCTTGGGGGAAATAGCTCTCCAGCTACACATGGGGGTCGTTGTGACTGTTATTATCTCAGCTGGCTTGCCCAGGCTGCGTGTGTTATGATTTAGATTTAACAGCTAGAACAACATCCCAAAGAGCAAGAACATCGAGGCCAGCAGGACCAGGCCATCCTGCAGATCTGGCTGCAGACCCGCCCAGGCACCCGCTGCCTTCAGGGGACGTGAGCACCACAAGGGGGCATCAAGCCAAGGACACATCCCAGGCAGGTGTGTGAATATTTCCAATATCTCTGTGCTCCCTGACTCTTGTTTTTTGCCTAGTAGCCCCCCAAAGGGCTCCCCTTTCCATCCACTAACACTAGAACCCCTAATGCCTACAGGTAACAAAGCCGTAGCTTCTTTTTGTCCAGAGCTCCTCAGCCCCTGCCTGCTCTCCCTAACCCTCACCACCCCCTCGTGCTCCCTCACTCTCTCCCATCACACTCACCCCCATCAAAGCTCGCTGCCCTCAGCCCACTAGCAGGCTGACTATCCCAGAAGCACCCCGATTCCTCAGCCAGCATCCCTGGTGGAGACGCTGTGTCTTTAGGTCTGAAGAAGCCAGAAACCTGCATTATTTTCCCTTTCTCCTGTGATCCTATACTTGCAGGGGTCACCGCCCCCCGCCCCAGAGGACTGGCAGCTCGTTACATTTCCACTTCTGCAGAAATAGGACACAGCAGGGAAGGATGGTGACGAGCAAAGGAGATTGTCTCTATCCTTTGTGCCTTCTGCACCCTGTGAAGCCATTTCCCAAGATGTACGGGAATTTCCACCAGGAAAAAGTGGTCCGTGGTGGCAAGAGGCACAGAGAAAGGCCCAGAAGAGGTCAGGACTAGCAAGGAGATAGCACAGCAGTGGGGAAACTTTTTTTTAACTTGAGGGGAAATTAAAGTGGGCAAAGGAAAGAGGGTGGCAGCTTCACTGCAGAAGCTAGGGAAGGAAAGGACAGGAAGAGGTCAAGAAGCCAAGAGTCTGAGGTCAAGAAAAGGGCAGTGCTTGTAAAATTTGGTTGCACCACCAGCGTGAGGAGAGGCCTTGGGTACTCTGTCTGCTCCTTCTCTACTTTCTCTACTAAATGCTGCCCTACAGATACTGTGAGGACAGTCACCTCAAGAAAACCAAGTGACCCCTGATCTGAGGGTCATTCAGTTCTCTTGTTCCTGCCTCACGCATGTTACCGAGAGCGAGATCTCACGGCAAGAGGTTCCGAGCACTGGTGCAGTGAGGATTTACTCTGGTCAGAGAAGGTAAGGAAGTGGAGACATGCTTATCTGTCTGAGGCCTCATGGATCCTTCCCAGAGTGAGATCAGGTGATCTCTCCAGAACTGGTCACCCAGGAGATGGCCCAAGAACCTGCCTGGCCTTGGGTGTTTGCTTCTGGGGCCCCAAGCAGGACACAATGCAGACTGACCCACAAGTTTCCAAGGAAACTCTCAAGTCCCCCCAAGACACTGTGTGGCTACCCACATCTAGGCAGGTGGGGAGCAAATCCACAATTATGAAAGTTTTATGAATTTGGACTTGGGAAGGAAAAAAAAAGAAAAATTGTGACTTGGCGGTTCATCTCACCCTGAGGGGGACAGCCTGAGACTGGAGTGGGAGGTTAATGAGAACAGAGAAAAATGCAGCAGGAGGGCTGAGAGATCAGAGTTCAAGGGTCAGATACAGTGCCTAAGACCAAAGTCTGCTCATGGGGAGCTTGGCAAGTTCCAGCTCTCTGCACAGCTGCTGCCTGGGGAGCCTGCTGGGATGGGGGAAAGGAATGGGGTCAGAAGAAGGGCTGAAGGAGCAAGCAGAGCAAGCTGTTCTGTTCCCACCACAGGCAACAGTCCTGCCCATCCAGGGAGCCCTGGTTTCTGGAACAAAGCTCCAATGCATCTTTGGCTTGGGCAAGAAAAAGCAAGTGTGAAAAACACCTGGTGGAGTATGAGTAAAAATGAGGTCTTGGGGGAGGAAGTGCGGGGACAAAGGAAGATGGGGAGCAACTCCAGGGATCATCAGTAATCACTGTATTTAGGAAGGTAATAGCGTGGAATGGAAAAGGCTTGGGCTTTGGAGTCAAATTGGCCAGGGTTCGATTCCTAAGTCAACTGTTGCTGTGTGCTCTTAGGCAAGTCACTGAACCTCACTTTTCTCGTCAGGAAAATGGGTATAACAACAAGGGAATTGCTTAACACATGTGTAATTATTTATTTCCTATCCCACCTTCTGGAATAATTCTGGAATAATAAAAAGCTGCTCTTCACACTCCCAACTAATTCATAATTTCTAGAAAATGGCAGATTCCAAAAGACCACTTGGTGTGAAAACCCAAGCTCCCTCACATGCTAGTTTTGTGGTTTGAGGCAATAAAGTTGTCTAAACCTGAGTCCCTTTGTCTGTAAAATGAAGCAAATGCTAACTCACAGGGTTAATGTGAGGATTAAACTGTCGTGCGGTAGTGCAGCACCTGGCGGATAGTAGGCACGTAATGACTGTGTCGGCCAGTCCTAATGTTTGCTCTTGCTGTTATTTTTAAAAAGCAAGTCACGTTTCAGTGACCAGGAAGTGACACGTCTCAAAAATATAAAAATGAAAAGGCTTACTGTCATCAGTGCTTCCCACCTCCTGCCTAAAGTAACCTTTTATTAGAATAGCTTAACACAGAGATTTAAAAAGTTCAGTGAGAGCTCTTTGGACACCCTACCTCCAGCACCTGCCCTTATCGATCTACCAAAGTTCAGCAGAACAGACAGAAGGTGCAGGGAGAGAAACAGCGTGTGGGGACACACACAGTGCACCAGTGAGTCTGAGTGTCAGGAGGCCCTTCCCCATGTGACAATCACAGGAGAGGCAACCTGTCCCAGAGAGAAAGATAAGAGACACAACCAGCATGGCCTCCTCTTGGCTCCCACTCCCTGACCCTGACCCAGTGCTTGCCAGACAGAGCAAAACAAAGTCTTTGGTCTTTGTGCTGCCAGCAGGAATCTTGCACCTTTCTCAAGTGCCAGGCGAATGCCAGCTGGAATGATCATACTTCCTAGGGAGTGTGAACTATGTTCAATTAGGGCCCTGGCAGGGCACTGGCCCTGGGGGTGCTGCCCTGTTCACTGACAACAAAGCCCAGCTGCAGCATGGGGCCAGGACCAGGTGGCAAAAAAGGTCACTCGGAAGCTCCGGACCAAGGCTGGCTCTTGAAATGTTTCTCTCCTTGCAGCCACCGAGGGCAGGGAAGACAGGTTGCTACAGCCAGCTTGGAAGGATGGTATCCTAGAGAGTGGATTCAAAGAACTCTTATTCCCTGCAGGGCCCAGACACAGAATTATGGCCTTATTAACTCTCTGAGTTAAAGATTATCTGATCAACTTTCTTCACATTTGCTGGATGCTGTTTTGTAACAAACACCACATCTAGAACAGTGGAGGCACATAATAGATGCTCGATGAATTTTGGCTGAACAAGTGCACTGTGGTGATGAGCAGAGACCAAGAGATCCCACAGGGTGTGGGGTTCATCATCAGTCAAACCTGGATTCTACTTACAGATGTGAAGATGGAACATTCTTCAAACTCTCTAGGCCTTAATTTCCTTACCTATAAGATGGAGATACCTCACTGCTCCGCTGTGAGGATTAGCAGTAACAATGCATGCAAACCTGTCAGCAGTGCCAAGGACAAGGTAAGCACTCAATAGCTGTTAGCTAGAAATAGCTGGTCAGGACAAAATAGGGCATTGGTCACAGAAGCCATAAATCAGTTCCAGAAAAACGGACCCCTGTCTCCCTGCTTGAGTGAGTCCCTCCTTCCGAGCCTGGCGCCCACACAAAGGCCGGCTTTTCACAGCTCTGCTGCTCCAGAACCACACTTGCATAGAGAATGAAGGCAAATCTTCACCTGCCCCACAACCTCCTGCTTGTTATCTACTATCCATCACATCCCTTTGGCTGCAGATAAGACAAAGAACTTAAAATTCACAAAATAAGTACACTTGTTTGGCCACTTATTTGCAGTGTGCCTTTGGGCCATGTTTGCGCACCTGTGTCATGAGGAGTTTGCCCTGGATGATCTCTTGGGTCCTAGCTTGAATAGTTGATTCTACACTTGGCTCCCAAGCCCGGGTGCAGCCTGTGCTTGTGCAGAAATGAGCAGTAGCCACCGGCCTATTATATCTAAGAAATGGGGTATAAGCTCATGACCCATCAGAAGATCAATGACAAATACCTAGGCTGCAAGGCCACTCGACTCCATGGGGAGGGGGTGGCTGTTTCTGGCAACCCAGAACTCAGGACTGGCTGGGAAACGAGAACAATTCAGCTGCTGGATCACCCCAAATTCTGCACAAGGGGGAAATGTTGTTTGTCTGTGAACTGGGGTCCTCAACCTCAAAGGGGAACTATGGAAATGTGTGCCACCCCCTTTCCTCTCACTCTCTCAGCTGTGGATGTGTTGTGCCTTGCTATTTTTAAATGCTTGGAAAGCCGTTTGATTATTAGTCTTCTCTCTGCTGGGAGCCTCCTGCCCTAAGTCATCTCAGGGACATGTTCATATAGTCTCTCTCCTTCAACCAGCACCCAAGGGGAGGATCTTTACATTGCACACAGCTCCCCAGGGGTGACTGCTGTGCCAGGGAGGCAGAGGCAGAGGCAGGGTACACAGTGGATAATAAATTTTGGGGGCTCTGGGGTGGCACTTACCCACGCTCCCCTCTGGCCCTTGACACCTCCTGGCTTTGCCAGCTTTCAAAATGGCTGCCAAACAGAGAACCCCTTAGAGGGCGAGTTCTTATTTTAGGCCTTGCTTCACAAACCCCTCTGGCTAGCAAGCAGCACCACCCCACCCTGTTCTAGGCTGTGGCAGAGTAAGGGCGGTGAAGGAAGGTGGGGAGAGGCAGAGGCCTCTGACAACCCACAGGAAACTCTACACCAGCCCAGCTGGTGCTGGGAAGGGCTGGGGGCTGGGCGAGGTGTGGGTCAGCGGGCCTGTGGGCAGAGGGGCGGAACCAGAGGGTGCTGGTAAAGGCTTAAGAAACAGAGAGGAAACTCTGTAAGAGATAAGATAACCAAGAGAAATAATGCCAAAAGGGGATGGATAGATGGTGGGGTAAGGGGTATGACTCATGATTAAAGACAATGACATATTTACAACCCTTGAGAAACATTACTAGGGCCTTGGGGGCTTCTGGGTTCCCTAGCAGCTGTGACCCAAGGAAGGGGACCACAAGTAATTGCTAACAGATGTCTGCAGACCCCTTCCCAGCAGCAGGCATTCCCAACCAGAGTGAGAGAAGGCCTGCGGCTCCCAGGCCTCCAGGCAGTGCTGGCCCTTGCCTGGGGCTTCTTACCTGGGGATCCCACAGACGGGTGAGGTTTGGGTACAGGTAAAACTGAATTCCTTGGGCTGCCCCAGGCAGTGTCACCCCTCGAATTAAAAGGACCACCAGCATGAGGTAAGGGAATGTGGCTGTGAAGTACACCACCTGGGCAGGGGCAGATGAGAGAAGCGAACTTGTAAGTTAGGAAGGAGGGGACTGGAGCCCCCCCACCACCCAGTAGAGACAGAAGGCAGGAGCTCCCCACCCCAGGGAAGAGGTCAAAGGGAGTTCCTCTTGGGCTCCCTCCTTCTCCCCTTGCAGCCATTCAGTTCCATCTCCCCTCTGCCTGAGCCACAGCCTCCTTTCTCCCTCCCTCCCTTCAGCTTAGAGCACCATCTCTCCCCCAGACACATACTCAGTAAATATTTGTTGAGTGACTGAATGAACTTAGGTATTCTCCCAACCAGTGTGCGTGGGACTACGGAAAGGGTTACTAGGTGTGAGAAGATCTGTAACCTTGATCCTGGTCCTCACAGAGCTCAGAGCTTTGTACAACCAGGCTGCCAGATTAGGAAGGAAGCCTTGACAGAGGCCTCCAGGGCAAGAGTCCAGAAGAACTCAGAATATTCTCTAAAACCCTACACACTCTGGGGAAGAATCCCCCAAAATTCTAGGGTTGACTGAGAATCATTTTGAGATTAATATTCTTAACAGAATTATTATTATTATTATTATTATTATTATTTCCAAAGAACTAGTATATGAAATCGGGAGCCATAAACTGTGTTCAATTTGTAATGTGTTCGTACACAAGATACATTCCGAAGCCATATTCCTCTGGATGTGTCCTTCCTGCCATTTTCTCTTTCTCTCTTAATTTCCCAAATACTGGAAGCACCTTCGATAGAACCCAGGAGAGGCACAGGATCATGGAAGAAACCCATGTGTGATCATTTCCCTCTAGTCCTGACCTGGAATGGGGACCCAAGAGCTCTCCAACACCAACCTTGCCTGTGGACTTGACCCCCTTCCAGATGCAGAAGTAGCAGATGACCCAGGCCAGCAGGAGGCACAGGGCCAGCTCCCAGCGCAGGGCCCCCAGGTGCTGGATGCCATCGGAGATCTTCAGCACCCGCCTCCTGGAGAAAGAATGGGAAGCTGGGCTCCACTTTTGCTGCCAGCCTTGGTTTTGCAGCCAGCATGTCTCAGCAGTGAAGCCAGGTCTGCAGGCCACTGTGCAGAGGTTTGATAGTTATTTTCACTCAGCTTTATCCAGAGTGGGGGTAGATGTAAGGGAGGGAAATACAGACTGTTTCCAGGTAAATATGCTCTAGGAAGCCAAGCACCAATTCAACCTAGAAGCAAACATTTCCTCATGCCCTAGATGTTTTGATATTAGGCCTTATGCCATAGATGAATATCAAGGCAATGCACATGCAGCTCAAGAGAGGAGGTAGCTGGAGTGAGGACACACCTGTGCATGCAACACCTATTGGGGAGGGGGGGCAGAGGGAGGGAAGGCAGGCTCAGGCAGGGAAGATTTGCAAGATTCTTTTACTGAAGCCAGTGGTGCATTCACCACAAAGACCACAAAGAAAAAGCCACTTAGGTGACAGGGCCATCAAGGAAGGAGACGAAATTCTTCCCTCCCTGCTCATTGAGAGTGGCCACAGCCTGACCGCCCGGCCGTCCCTCTCCAGCCTTCTTTCAAACACACAGCCCTTGCTGGCTTGTGGAAAGGGCCTCACTCACTCCCAGAACTCGATGACGGGAGAGGTGGCGTTCTCGGTGGTCACATTCAGGGAACCGTTGGTCCTCTGGAACTCGACACAGTGTTCTAGCCACAGGTCCCAGCAAAGGAAGAAAAAGAAAGGTCATTAACCAATATTGGCCTGACACAGAGCATGGGGTGAAATTTAGGAGAATGGGGAGGAAGGGATCTGGCAGGAACTGGGCTGAAGTTGTCTGTACAAAGCTCCTTCAAATATATAATAACATGTGCACGTCTAAGTGTTTGGATACCTATTCTTTTTTTAAAGTTTTTTTTTTTAATAGAAGTATGTTTTATTTATTTATTTGTTTGTTTGTTTGTTTTGTTTATACATGCACTGGGTACAGTCAGAAGCGCGGGAGGGTGAGAGAATTCACCAGAGCCAGAGCGGGGAGCAGAGCAGGCAGAAGGACCGAAGTACACTGCTGAGGGGAGCAGCGGGCGGCAGGAGAGGTCTGCGCGCCATGTGGGACCCTCCTCCAGTGGCCGGGGAGCAGCTGGGGGTCGAACAGGCACTGCAGAGGCCTCAGGCAGCTTCGCAACCCAGCACTCAACCACTGCGCCACCGGGGAGGCCCTGGATACCTATTCTTACCAAAGTATGATGAGACAGTATCAGCAAGGCTGTTCTTCAGGACATCTACTTCAAACTACAGATCACCCTTGGCTTACCATGGGGTTACATCCTGATAAATCCAACCTAAGTTGAAAGGTTTAACCAAGCAGCATAGCTCAATCAAGCCTGCCTTCCATTCATTATAACTGGGCAAAATCATCTAATATAATGCATGTGTTATAATACATCTCATGCTATTTATTGACTACTGAACTGACAGTGAACAGCCATCTATGAATATGGGCTATTTGCCCTCATGATCACACCCCTGGCTGGGAGCTGGGAGTCATGGCCGCTGCCCAGTCGCAGGAGAATATCTCATCTCACCCAGCCAACCCAGGATAAGACAAAGCTCAGTATTTCTTCTTTTTTTTAAAAAAAGATTTATTTATTTATGCATACAAGAACTGGGGTACAGGCCAGAGGTGTAGGGGTGAAAGGATTCACCAGAGAGACTGGGGAGCAGAACAGGCAGATCTACTGAAATACACTGAAGGGAGCAACAGGCAAGACAGGAGAGGTCTGCTGTGCCATTTGGGTCAGCTCCCTGGCTGGAGATCGAACTTGTGCTGAGACTTAACCCCTTGTGCCACCAGGGAAGCCCCAAAGTTCAGTATTTCAAGTACAGTTTTCACAATGGATGTCACTTTCATACTATCATAAAGTCAAAAATTACAAGTTGAACAATCATCATCATACGCTGGAAACATCTGACCAGGAATATTTTTATTTTACTGTCCTGTATAAAGTCACAGCTTTGAGGAGTAGTAAGTGTGCCCCTGGGGAAGTGACACAGCAGGTGGCCAGAAGCACAGGCACCCCAGGGACCAGCCAGAAAGCTCTGCTCCTGATCTTCCTGTGCAGGTGTCTCACTCCCATCACCTCTGTAATGTGCACAAGAACATGCGTTTGTAGAACTGATGGGAGGGTGAAATAAGAACACGGCTGTCACAGGCTCTTTTAGCATTGAGTATTATCTGTCTATGACTCAGGAGTTTCACAGAACGCTCACGATCTTTTTGACATTTTATTGATACAATAATCTTGGTAAATACTAGACAGAGCATTCTCCCATTATGGACATGAAGAAAGTGAATCTACTTAGAAATGGCCTGTCAGAGATTTTCAATGGCTAATGAGAGCCAGCATCTGGCTCAGCAAAGGTAGCTTTCCACCCTTAAAATATCCAGGAGCTGGGGCCTCCCTGGTGGCGCAAGGGGTTAAACACCAGACTATGAAGGAATCCGCAGCCTCTGCAGCATGAGTTTGATCCCCAGCCGACCAGGAAGCAACCCACATGGCACAGCAGACGTCTGTCTCACCCGCTGCCTCAGCAGTGTATTTCAGTCAGTCTGCCTGTTCTGTTCCCCACTCTGTCTCTGGTGAATCCTCTCACCCTCCACATCTCTGGCCTGTACCCTAACTCTTGTATGCATAAATAAATAAATCTTTAAAAAAAATCTAGGAGCTGACCCTTCTCATTCTCACCACCCCCTTCCCTCCCCTGCCCCGGAGCAGAGTGCTGACATCTCCTGGCTCCCTAAGTGGCCTCCAGTTTCAACTCTTGTCTCCCTAGTCAAGTCTCCACACAGCAGCCAGAGTGATTTTGCTTTAAAAACTTGACTCCCTCAACAAATATTTTTGAGTACTTAGGATGTAGCCAGCACTCTGCTCGGTACAATGGTGACAAAGATGAACACACATTTTCTGCCCTGAAGATCAGTGAGAAAAAGACCAACAAGCAGACAAAAGGCAAGGTTAGGGGTCAGGATAGGGGTCAGGGTAGGCACTCAGACACATTGGAGAAGAACTTAATGAATTTTTGAATAGCAGAAGATGTATCTCTAAGATCTGACTTACACTTGGAAAATGGGAATGGTGTTGGTGGTGGAGATCCCGCAAGAGAACGCCTGGAAGGGGAGGTAACGTTTGGGGACAAGAAGAGCCTTGAGTATCAGGCTAACCGCTGGCACAGAGAAAGTGCTTCCTTGGCAAAGTGAAGGATTCAAACTTCAGTTCAGCCCCGAGGAACTTAGCTGAACAAGAGCAAACAAACCACTGCACAGACAGGGCCTCACTGACCGGCCTTCTCTGCCCGGGAGATTCTGGAGAATGAGGGAGATGTGGTGCTGAGGGTCCAAGCAGGCCGCGCCCAGCAGGCTCACCACCTGTGCTGTTTCCAGTAGGGCGGCTACTAGCCGCAGATGGCTCTTTACATTTAAATTCACAGAAATGAAATAAAAACTTTAAAATTCAGTTCCTCACACACTGGCCACATTTCAGATGTTCACTGAGCACATGTAGCCAGGGATACCATATTGGAGAGTACTCGTGACTTGTGAGTTGAAAAGACCTAAAATAGGGCCTCCCTGGTGGCTCAAGAGGTTAAGCACTGCACTATGAAGCTGTCCGCAGCCTCTGCAGCATGAGTTCGATTCCCGGCGGGCCAGGGAGCAACCCACATGGCAGAGCAGATTTCTCCTGACTCACCGGCTGCTCCCCTCAGCAGTGTACTTTGGTCAGTCTGCCTGTTCTGTTCCCCACTCTGTCTTTCATGAATCCTCTCACCCCCTGCATCTCTGGCCTGTACCCCAGCTCTTATATGCATAAAAAAGTAAATCTTAAAAAAAAAAAAAGACCTAAAATAGTGTCAGAAGGAAGACATGAGAAGAAAAAAAAATAACCAAACCACACATACACACATCAAACAAATCATATTTCAGATGGAAATAACTGCCTAAACTACATAAAAGGAAATCAGTTCTATTTGCATAATAAATGAATTCATAATAGATGAGTTGATTTGCCTAATACATGCATTTCTTTTTAAAAAAGACTGAGCGTGTCGCCTGTGATGTTGGTGAATTCTTGCTCTTATCTTTGGTGGAAGATCTCCCTGGCCTACCTGGTAGTGTGTTCCCAGTTAAGGCTGGGGACTGGGTTGCTGGGACATAAGGACCTTCCACTTTGGTAAGTGTGGTAGAGCAAAGGGAGGAAATGAACCCCGTGGGGAGACGTCCTTACCTGTATTCCACTCATGATTGCAGCTTCCCCAGGGCAGGTCCGTGGTGAAGCTGCTGGCGAGGTAGAAGAGGGCCCAGGCCAGAACAACGATGTAATAAAAGTTGAGGAGGATGACGATCACCTGGGAGGCATAGCCGATGCCTGGAGGGGGAACTGCAGGATTGGGCTGGGAACTGCCGACAGATTTCTCACACAGCACCCACCCCTGCCTAGAAGAGGGCTAGCGTGTCTCCCTCAGCATTCTAAAACAAGACGTGCTGGGACCGAGGCTCCTGGCCAGCAACTCCCATCCCCAGCAGCCCTTGCCAGGTGAGAGAGGGAGTTTTCTGTCTTTCTCCTGCTGGACTGCCCCAGCTTCCTGGGCGCTACCACCTTTATTCAGCTCTGGATGTTCACCAGCACAAAGTTATTTTCTAAATGTGCAAGACTAATATCAGGATTCTCTTAGATTATTCCAATAATCTCTGGATTATTTTTCTGAAACATAAAGACACATATTAAGAGCAAGAACAGACAATTCATAGAAGAGAAAATACAAAGGGTGAAATGATGTCCTTTAAATACATTCCCTCTCCTTTATAATTGTAGGTGTCAAAAATGCAACACAGAGAGATACTATCTACAACTCCACTGAATCCTGCATCTACGACCCCATTGAGATTTTTTTGCAGATGATATAACTCCGTGATTTCCAAACTTGTCTGTACATTAGAATTATCTAGGGGATATTTTTAAAACTCCAAAGTCCAGACCGGACTCCAGACCATTTAAATCACAGTCCCAGGATAGTTTGAAGTTCTCCTGGTGGTGCCAATGTGGAGACAAGCTTGGGACCCACTGATAAAGCTCAGAGTTGTTAAAGATATGGGGGAAAGATGCTTACTCGTTTCTAGTGCTGTTATAAGTCAGCATAACACTTCACTAGGACAATTTATAAGCCAGATGAACTTTGTTGCCCATTTGATCCAATGATCCTAACCCTGGGATATTATCCCAAAGAAAAAAATTCCCAAAAAGGGGGTTGGAGGTGATAGCTCAGCAAATATATTCATCATAGATGAAAATGACAATTTTATAAGAAATTTAAAAAGGCAAAAAACTACAGAGAACTATTAAATAAATCATGATATAGCCACTTGATGGAAGTTGATGCAATCATTAAATGATTATTGTGTGGAAAATAATACTTACTGAAAAACAGAAAAAGAAATTGCATATTCCATATTATTAGATATGTGAACTTCCCTCAGACTGGAAACAACACAACTGTTTTTCAGTGGGTGAGTGGTTAAATAATTGTGGTATATCCAGACTGTGGAATAATACTTTGCAACAAAAAGGAATGAATTACTGATATAAGAAGAGTCTGGATAGATCTCAAGAGCATTGATCTGAGTGAAAATGTCAATCTCAAAAGGGTATACACTGTATAATTTCATTTATATAACATTCTCAAGAGGACAACATTATAGAGATATAGAACAGATTAGCGACTGTCAAAGGTAAGGGGTGAGTAGGGGAGAGGGAAGCATGGCTATGCGCAGCATGAAGGAGATCTTTGTGCTGATGGAACAGTTATGTGTTGTAATTGTGGGAGTGGTTACACAAATCTATATATGTGATAAAATTGAACAGAATAATTCACACACACACACACACTCACACAAATTGGAAAACTCACAGAAGTACATGGAAAACTGGTGAAATCTGAATAAGGCTGAAATTGGACAGTACCAACGTCATTTTCAAGGTTTTGATGTTCTTCCATAGTTATATGAGATGTTACCATTGGGGCAAACATGTGACTTCGTTGTACCATTTTTTCAACTTTCTGTAAATATACAATTATCTCAAAACACAATCTTAGAGAAAATTCCACATGGAGAGAAAGATTGAAATAAAACACCCTAAGTTTTAAATAGCTATTTTAACAAGGTAGAATTATTAATGAAAATTGTTTTTTCATTTCAAATTCTCTTTGAAAGTGTTTTATAATTGATTAAATCTGTTTTGAAAAAAACGAAATCACTATTTTATCTTAACTATATAGCCAAAATAGCTTTGCACTCTACTTACTTAGCCTAAGGCCTTTGCCCCAGCCTCATACTTATCTTGTCCTCCATTCTCTAATGGGTTGGGTAATTAACTCAGTATTGGGCCCATAAGAGGAAGGTTTAACATGAAGACACAGAGTTTTATTTCAATCAGCACCGTTGCTAAACCATCCAGTCATTCCTAATAAGGTTTATAACTGCCAGTGCAGATACCCTGGAATCACACAGCTACTCACCCTCAAAGAAGGGACAGATCTTCCTCCAGGCTGTGATGCCTCCCTGGCTGGTGTACTGGCCCAGTGCTATCTCCAAGAGGAAGACAGGAATGCCACAGGTAAAGAGGAAGATGAGGTAGGGAATGAAAAAGGCACCTGCGGGTAGAAACCAGGCTGTCCATTATCTGCACTAGCCTCCTCCTGGTCCACATTCATCTCCTGCATTTCCGCCCCACACTGCCAGTCAGAATCCTGGGGTGGGGGACATGCAACACTGCAAAGGACATTAGTCTAGACACCCGGAATCACAGCAGAAATCAAGAATCACCAGTTTCCTAGGATCTAACTAATCCTTGCACCTTTTTTCACTCCGAAGTTTCCGTCTATACCTACCAAGGCTTGCTCTCCATCAAATATCAATTGTTGCTTAAAGAACACTAACTGTGGCAATAGCAAGGAACTCAATGAATATTGGATATCTGGGATCACTATCACAGTCCACAGCTTTTAATTCTTTTCAAGGAAACGATTGCTCTTAACGTTAGGAAGAAGGCAAGAAAAGGCACTAAAAGCTGTTCAGATTGGAAAAAAACAAATAAAACCGACTTGTTTGCAGATGACGCGTGGAAGTCTATGCAGGAAGTCCTTTAGAATATGAAATAGTCAAACTCATACAGTGGTGGTCACCAAGGGCTGGAGGGGAGGGGAGCAGGGAGGTGTTGGTCAAAAGGCACAAAGTTTCAGTTTCAGAAAGTAAGTCCCCAGGAGCTACCACACAAAACAGCGTTAGCGTATTTTGCAATGCTGGATTGTATACTTAAAAATTTGCTAAGAGAATACATCTTACATTAAGTTTTTAACATAGAAATGCTAAAATACAAAAAAGAAGGCAGGAGGAAACTTTTGGAGATAATGAAAATGTTTATATCTTTGAATGTAGTGATGATTTCATGGATGTATATTATCACAAAAATTCATTGATTTGTATACATGAATTATGATACTGCTTTTTGTTTATCAGTCATACCTCATTAAGTGGCTTTAAAAAGGAAAGAAAATCCTTTGCAATGCACAAAATAGCTACTAGAACCAATAAGTTCATGTAGTAAGGTTTCAGGACACACATCAGCACACAAACATCAACTATATTTCTACACATTAGCAACAAGAAATTATAAAGTAAAATTTAAGAAATAATTCCATTCATAATTGCACCAGAAATATGAAATACTTAGGAATAAATCTGACAAAAGATGGAAAAGACATGTATACGCACAACCACAAAATATTGTTGAGAGAAGTTACAGACCTAAATAAATGGTGAGAGATGTCATTTTCATGGGGCAGAAAATTAAAAAGTCAATTTTTCCCAAATTGACCAATAAATTCACTGCAATCCCATTCAAAATCTCAACAGGCTGTTTGTAGAAATTAACACAGAGATTCTAAAATTCACATGACAAAGCAGAAGACCTGAAATATTCAAACATCTTTGAAAAAAGACTGTTTTAGGCTTAAATCTAACTGATTTATATTATAATATTTATATTATATTTATATTTATAATACAAAATATGTATATTATATTTATTTATATTATAAAGCTATGGTAAGTAAAACAGTGTGGTATTGGCATCAAAATAAACAACAGATCAATAGAACAGAATAGAATCCAGCTACAGGCCCACAAATATATGGATGACTGATTTTTGATAAAGGTATGAAGGCAATTCATTGGAGAGAAGATAGTCTTTTCAATAAATGATGCTGGAACAGGAGGATATCCATACACATGAAAAAAAATGAACTTAAATCCATACCTTAATTATATACTAAAATTAACCAAAATCAGTTATAGACTGTAATATAAACCTAAAATTATAAAACTGGGGAAAATATTTCAGACCTGTAGTTAAACAAAGATTTCTTTTACATGACACCAAAAAGAACAAACTGAAACGATTTCATCAAAATGTTTACATTTTCTCTAAAAAAGACACTTAAGAAAAGAAAAAATATAATACAGAATGAGAAAAAATGCAAAATTTATATCTGATAAAGGGCTTGTGTCAAACTATATAAATTAGCCTCAAAATTCAATAGTAACAAAGCAATCGATTTTTTTTAATGCTCAGAAAAATTGAACGGACTTTCACCAAAGAAGATACCTGGGTTGCAAATAAGCACATATTAATCACTGAGAAAATATAAATTAAAATGACAATGAGATCAAGAAAAAGAAACAAAAGGCATACAAGTTAGAAAAGAAGTGTAACTATTTGCAGATGACATGATCTTATATATAGAAAATCCTAAAGACTCTATCAAAAAAAAAAAACTTAACAGAAATTAAACAAAGTTACAGGACACAAAATCAATATACAAAAATCAGTTACTTTCCTAAATGCTAATAACAAACTATCAGAAAGGGAATTAAAGAAACAATTCCATTTTTTACATTTGCATCAGAAAGACTCAAATACCTGGGAGTAAATTTAACCAAGAGGGTGAAATACCTGGCAATAAATTTAACCAAGGAGTGCCTCCCCGGTGGCACAAGGGCCTAAGACACAACCTATGAAGCTAACTGCAGCCATTGCAGCATGAGTTCGCTCCCCGGCCAGGAGCTACCCACATGGCACAGCAGACCTCTCCTGACTCGCCCCCTGCTCCCCTCAGCAGTGTATTTCAGTCAGTCTGCCTGTTCTATTCCTAACTCTGTGTCTGGTGAATCCTCTCACCCTCCCACCCACCCCCCCCGGCCCCAAACACACCTCCAGCCTGTATCCCAGTTTTTGTAAACATAAATAAATAAATCTTAAAAAAAAAAATTTAACCAAGTAGGTGAAAGACCTATACACTGAAAACTGTAAGACACTGACAAAAGAAAATTGAAGGCAAAGCAAATAAACAGAAAGATATTCTGAGCTCAAGGATTAGGAAAATTAATATTGTCAAAATATCCTTACTACCTAAAACAATCTACAGATTGCAATGTGAAGTGAAATAAGTCAGTCAGAGAAAGACAAGGATGTATAATCTCATTTATTAAGGAAATAAAAAAACAAAAAACAAACCATACTCATAGATACAGAGAGCAGATAGGTGGTTGCCACAGATGGGGGTTAGAGATGGATGAAGTGGGTAAAGGAGTTCAAAAGGTACAACTTCCAGTTATAAAATAAGTGAAGCCTGGGCCTCCCCGGTGGCGCAGCGGTTGAGCGCTGGGTTGCAAAGCTGCCCGCAGCCTCTGCAGCGCCGGTTCAATCCCCGGCTGCTCCCCGGCTGCTCCCCGGCCACCAGAGGAGGGTCCCACATGGCGCGCAGACCTCTCCTGCCACCCGCTGCTCCCCTCAGCAGTGTACTTCGGTCCTTCTGCCTGCTCTGCTCCCCGCTCTGGCTCTGGTGAATTCTCTCACCCTCCCGCGCTTCTGACTGTACCCAGTGCTTGCATAAAGAAAGAAAGAAAGAAAGAAAGAAAGAAAATAAAAAAAAAAAAAAGTGAAGCCTGGTGATATACAGTACAGTATGGTAACTATAGTTGATAATACTGTATTGCATATTTGAAAATTGTTAACAGAGCAGACCTTAAAGTTTCTTATCACTTACCACATGAAAAAAAATGTAGCTTTGTGTGGTGATGGATGTAAACTAGATTTATTATGATGATCTCTTCATGATACATACAAATATCAAATCGTTATGTTGTACATCTAAAATTTGAGAAATTTTGTTTAAATGATCATGAAATAACATTACATGCCAATTAGGGCCCCCCCCCCCCCGGTGGTGAAAGGGGTTAAGTCTTATCAGTATGCAACTGTTGGCAGCTGCTGCTGCATGAGTTCGACCCCCGGCCAGGAACTAACCCACATGGCACAGCAAACCTCTCCTGTCTCACCCGCAGTTCCCCTCAGCAATTATTTCAGTCAATCCACCTGTTTGCTCCCCACTCCGTCTCTGGAGAATCTGCTCACCTCCCGCACCTCTGGCCTACATCCCAGCTCTTTTATGCTTAAATAAATAAAATAAATCTTCAAAAAATATATTACATGACAATTAGAAAGTTAAAATTTAAAAGTTTCACCAAGTATTGGAAAGATGTGGGGAAACTGGGACTCTCATGCACCACTGGCAAGAATGTAAAATGGTACAACTATTTTGGAAAAGTGTTTGGTTGTTCCTTAAAAAGTTAAATGTGCAACTACCATGTAATCCAGTCATTCCCTCCTAGGTATTAACCGTCAGAAATAAAACTATATATTCTTACAAGGACTTGTGCAGAAAGCCGGTTTAGCTGTAATAGCTAAAACCTGGAGACAAAACAAATGTCCATCAACAAGAGAACAGATAAAAAAATTATTATAGTGCATGCATAGAATGGGATACATTCTTTACAATAACAAAGAATGAGCTACTGACACATGAAAAATATGGATGAATCTCAAAATAATTATGCCAAGTGAATGTAGCCAGAGAAAGAAAAATACATATTGAATGTTTCCATTTATATAAAATTCTAGGAAATGCAAATTAATCATGACAGCAGTATTGACAGAAAACAGGCTTATAGAATGGAAACAGCCTAAGTATCCATCGACAGATGCATGGAAAATTATTCATCCATAAAAAAAAGAAAATACTGCATTTTGTGATGAACATCAAGGGCTTGACGCTAAGAGAAATAAATCAGACAGAAAAAGGCAGATACTGTATGTTCCCATGTCTATGGAATCTACAAAGGCCAAATTTGTGGAAATGAGAACAGAATGGTGGTTGCCTGGGGCTGGAGGGTGGGAGGTATGGCGAGTACAGACCTTCAGTTCTAAGATGAATAAATACTGGGGATCTACCATACAGCACAGTGACTACTGTGAACTCAACTATGTTATAAACTTGAATGTTGCTGAGGGAGTAGCTCTTAAATGTTATCTGTTATCATCACAAAAAAAACTGTCAGGGTAATTATGTGAGAGGATGGAAGTGGTGAATCACTTGACTGTGGCTGTCATTTTGCAATATATGTATGTGAGTCAAGTCATCATGTACAATGTATTAACCTTATCTACATTATATGTCAAAAAATCTCTCGGGCCTCCCTGGTGGTGCAGGGGCTAAAGTCTCAGCACTATCAAACCATCACCAGGCACTGGGCC